ATATATATTCCAAAATTTCCCCAATATCTAGGAAGCTATAACTGGTGATATAAGATTAGTTAGTGCGGTTTATTTCCTGCGATAAAGGTCTCTTAACACGGACACGTGTTTACCCTGTTTATAAACAAAACGATCTGACCTGGAGCCATGCTCAGGATGCTTTAGGTCCGAGGTCAGGGAGGTGGGGGTGAGGTCAGGGTGGGGTGAGAACATAGTGGTACAGGTGGGAGTGAGGCAAGTCTGGTCTCACAAGAGTGTTCTGGTATCGCAGGTTCTAACATCCAGCAGAACCCAACAACACAGAGCACCGTTAACTCCCTTCACTGTGTTCACCTCATATTGTGGACAGATAAGAGACGCTTATGTAACCCCCGGTAACAGAACAGCTCTTGAGAGCCGTGTTATGATAACTGGCTCAAGTTCCCTCTATCTAACCCAACATTTTCCTGCTTGATGTGATCAGATGCTGATCTAAGAACATGAGGTCAGATGCTGATCTAATAATATGAGATTAGATGCTGATCTAAGAACATGAGGTCAGATGCTGATCTAAGAACATGAGGTCAGATGCTGATCTAAGAACATGAGGTCAGATGCTGATCTAAGAACATGAGGTCAGATGCTGATCTAAGAACATGAGGTCAGATGCTGATTGAAGAACATAAGTCAGATACTGATCTAAGAACATAAAGTCAGATACTGACATAAGAACCTGATTTTGTTAGGGACAGGCAGCCTGCGTATGTATCTATGTTAGGCTTATATCGAGGTCCCCCTTCAAGGTCTGACTACTTATCTTCCCCCTTGTAACGTACGATTATGTTACGTTGTTGGGTAGATTAGATACACAGTGTTTAGTGAGTTTCATATATATTTGGTAATCTTGATTACAGTAGTCGGTTGGTGGCATTGTCGTAGACGTTGAGACGGAGCTTGGAGCAGAGCAGAGAGCTGAGTGAGGCCGGGGTCGCGGAGCTCTATGTGAGAGAGCGTGGCGGCTCGATGGGGAATTGTGAGTGTCTGAACTCGGGGGGCGAGAGCGTTGTAGCTCGATGCGGTCGTAGTCTGCTGTCTGCTCTGTGTCGAAGCTTGTAGCGTCTTGAGGTCGATTAGAACTGTACACGCCGAGTGCTACATTCTTGAGGTTGAAGAGGTGAGGTGAATCCATAGCGTCTGTACTGCAGTTTTCTGACTCACTGTGGAAATTGTACTGTCAACTATTCGCAATTCGCTTGCTTATATTCGGTGACTACACTTCAGCTTCTTCCAACCAGGATGGAAGAACTGTTACCTGTAAATAGAGATAGGATTATAGCTTGTGTAGTTAGTGCTAATTAGTTATGCCATTAAGTTAATGAGAAGTTGTAGTGAGTATATTGTTTGTACTCGCTACACCCTCAATGGTCAGAAGACTAGGAAAGCTCTAAAAATCGACAATTCAAGATCTTGCATGTGGGGCATAACAAGTATCAAATCAACAACATTATCTTGCAGCAGATGTATGAAGAAAAGAACCTTGGAGTTACAATCCACCAATCACTAAATGTTGCACCGCAAGATGCAGAAAAAAAAAGAAAAAATAAGTCAACCAAACTCTTGGAATAGTTAAACGAACTATTTTGTTGAAGTGTATAAACACTTCAATACTAATATAAATAAGAAAAATACTGGAAACTTTGGTCCAGATCCTTGGCTGGATGTTGATCCGGACACCTTCTTCAGAAGGTCAGATGTAACACAAACAAGGAGCAACAGTTACAAGTTCAACAAGCCACAATGTTGGACTGAAAACAGGAGATGCTTTTTCACCCAAAGGGTTATTAACTCATGGAACCGCCTATCCGTCGAAGGCGCAAATGTCAAAACTCTGATAAATTTCAAATGCAGCACGATAAAATCCTCACGACAACTGAGAGGATCTTTGGCAAGTTCCCGGTTTTGTCTTAGTCGAGGCCACTAGATAGATATTGTGGCCCTCAGGTAAATTATGGTAAATATTTGATTGTATTTAAAATATATAAGTTTACCCCTAAACATTTGCGGGCGCTTCACTTTCTAAAAAAAGTAATATTGGATTATAAATTACACACAGAGATCACACTAACGTGATACATCAAATGAACAAATCCACAAGGGCCGTGACGAGGATCCTCGTCACGGCCCTTGTGGATTTGTTCATGTGGTGCATCACGTTAGTGTGATCTCTGTGTGTAATGATGTAAGGGCGAAGAGGGAGAACGGCCTATTGACATAGCTCGGGTGCAGGGGGAGGTTGTGTAAAATCCTCGTTTGTGCCTCGGAGAGGCTACGGGATCCAGTAAGTTCAGTAGAACTTCGGTTTCAACCCTTTTACCCTGTCGTAGCTCAGTCAATTAAGGCAGTGTCTGGGATGCTCCCGGGCGCAGGTTTCGTATCCTCGTCACGGCCCTTGTGGATTTGTTCATTGGATTATAAAGCACTGGTAGTACATGAATATTATTTGGGTAGACTAATCAATTATTGATATTTTGCACTGGCTGGATAATGATGGATCAGAAGGTGTTTTGGGTGATTTCGTGGATTATTTTCTACATGAGTAGAAGTATATGTACATTCAGATTAGCTACAATCTAAATATACCTATTAACTTAACTAACTTGACCACCGTGACCCCTAAATTAATTAATTAATTAATAACTTAATTAATGCGCCGAAAATGTGTATGTTAAATCTCTATTAATCTTTATCTTCCTATATCTTCTCTCTCTATCACTACGAGAGGGACATGATAATTTTTGTTTAAGGTGCATGCTCTTATAATGTAATACTGTATTATACAATAACAGATAATACAACATCATATAATACATTTATGAACAATAAATTGCAAAATTAATATATTCCTGCATAACACAATGCCATATAATTTTATATTTCATTCAAAATAAAAATAAATTGAAAACACAATAAACGGCAGTGCATTTCTCAGTAAAACATTATCAAATAAAATTAAATATTATAATGCGTATCACTGATTAATTAACATATCATTAAGTGAAAACTTTTTATATATACTTCTTAAAGAAACTTTCATCAATAATTCAAATATGATGAGCTACTAAAAATGTTTGCATACTTATTGGCATAATGTTTTTAGGGTAAAATATATTGATATATTATATTTTAAGATTAAATATTCGTGTTTGGGTTTTCAGTAGGTCATCTGATTTTAAAATGTTGTTCCAAGTAGTTAAATCTTACACAATATCAGCAAACAACATAACAAGTCATAATTGTTAATTTTCTATTCTAATTTATTAATTAATAAAACAATTCTAGAATATTCTAAAAAAATTTTTTTAGTAAAACTAGAGGTTATATGAGCTAGAATTATTCAAGTTTCAAATGAAAAACTATTCATATTTGACTTAATTTATAACTAAGTTTAGACATTCAATACATTATATATCTAAGAGTCATATTAATTGTAGGCTGTTAGTCTGCTGGTTGTCCTGAGGGGCCATACCTGCCTCTCCCCTCACCCACACCGTGACCTCACCCGTCTCCCCTCACCCACACCGTGACCTCACTCGTCTCCCCTCACCCACACTGTGACCTCACTCGTCTCCCCTCACCCACACTGTGACCTCACTCGTCTCCCCTCACTCACACTGTGACCTCACCCGTCTCCCCTCACTCACACTGTGACCTCACCCGTCTCCCCTCACCCACACTGTGACGTCACCCGTCTCCCCTCACCCACACTGTGACCTCACCCGTCTCCCCTCACTCACACTGTGACCTCACCCGTCTCCCCTCACCCACACTGTGACGTCACCCGTCTCCCCTCACCCACACTGTGACCTCAATCGTCTCCCCTCACCCACACTGTGACCTCATTCGTCTCCCCTCACCCACACTGTGACCTCACCCGCCTCCCCTCACCCACACTGTGACCTCACCCGTCTCCCCTCACCCACACTGTGATCTCATCCGTCTCCCCTCACCCACATTGTGACCTCATCCGTCTCCCCTCACCCACACTGTGACCTCACCCATCTCCCCTCACCCGTCTCCCCTCACCCACACTGTGACCTCACCCGTCTCCCCTCACCCACACCGTGACCTCACCCGTCTCCCCTCACCCACACCGTGACCTCACCCGTCTCCCCTCACCCACACCGTGACCTCACCCGTCTCCCCTCACCCACACTGTGACCTCACCCGGCTCCCCTCACCCACACCGTGACCTCACCCGTCTCCCCTCACCCACACTGTGACTTCACCCGTCTCCCCTCACCCACACTGTGACCTCACTCGTCTCCCCTCACCCACACCGTGACCTCACCCGTCTCCCCTCACCCACACTGTGACCTCACCCGTCTCCCCTCACCCACACCGTGACCTCACCCGTCTCCCCTCACCCACACCGTGACCTCACCCGTCTCCCCTCACCCACACCGTGACCTCACCCGTCTCCCCTCACCCACACTGTGACCTCACCCGGCTCCCCTCACCCACACCGTGACCTCACCCGTCTCCCCTCACCCACACCGTGACCTCACCCGTCTCCCCTCACCCAGACTGTGACCTCACCCGTCTCCCCTCACCCCCACCGTGACCTCACCCGTCTCCCCTTACCCACACTGTGACCTCACCCACACTGTGACCTCACGCGTCTCCCCTCACCCACATCGTGACCTCACCCGTCTCCCCTCACCCACACTGTGACCTCACCCGTCTCCCCTCACCCACACTGTGACCTCACGCGTCTCCCCTCACCCACACTGTGACCTCACCCGTCTCCCCTCACCCACACTGTGACCTCACGCGTCTCCCCTCACCCACACCGTGACCTCACCCACACTGTGACCTCACCCGTCTCCCCTCACCCACATTGTGACCTCACCCGTCTCCCCTCACCCACACCGTGACCTCACCCGTCTCCCCTCACCCACACTGTGACCTCACCCGTCTCCCCTCACCCACACTGTGACCTCACCCGTCTCCCCTCACCCGCACTGTGACCTCACCCGTCTCCCCTCACCCACACTGTGACCTCACCCGTCTCCCCTCACCCACACTGTGACCTCACCCATCTCCCCTCACCCACACTGTGACCTCACCCGACTCCCCTCACCCACACTGTGACCTCACCCGTCTCCCCTCACCCACACCGTGACCTCACCCGACTCCCCTCACCCACACCGTGACCTCACCCGACTCCCCTCACCCACAGGCTATGGACGCAACATCCGACGCCTCCCGTGCGTGTCCAAGCACAAGGAGACAGGCGTGTGCATGTTCGCTTGGGACTGTATGAAGGCCAACGGTACTCACCTCGACACCTGCATTGACAGGTGAGTCCTAAACACGTATATTACCTGGAGTGTACCTGGAGGGGATCTTGAGAGTTCTGCTACTCCCCTGGTCCAGTCTGGAGCCAGACCTGCAATAACTTGGTCCAGAAAGCTGTTGCTGGGAGTGCCTTGCTGGCCTGCAGTATCCACTACAGTCTGTTTGGTCCGGTAGGCCTTGGAGAAGTTTGTCTTACTATTTGTGAAACACTTTTTTTTCACCCGGTGTTGTCCCGTCTCGAGTACTGCTCAGTACTCACTTCCCCCTTCAGAGCAGGAGAGATTGCTGAAATAGAGGGAATACAGAGAACATATACGGCACGCATAGACGAGATAAAACACCTAAATTATTGGGATCGTCTCAAAGCTCTCCAAATGTACTCACTAGAAAGGAGACGGGAGAGATACCAAATAATATACACATGGAAAATACTGGAGGGACAGGTCCCAAATCTGCACAGTAAAATAACAACGTACTGAAGTGAACGATATGGAAGAAAATGCAGAATTGAACCAGTGAAGAGCAGAGGTGCCATAGGCACAATCAGAGAACACTGTATGAACATCAGAGGTGCACGGTTTTTCAACGTCCTCCCAGCGAGCATTAGAAATATTGCCGGAACAACCGTGGACATCTTCAAGAGAAAACTAGATTATTTTCATCAAGGAGTGCCGGACCAACCGGGCTGTGATGGGTATGTGGGCCAGCGGGCTGCTGCAAGCAACACCCTGATGAACCAAACTCTCACAAGTCAAGCCTGGCCTCGGGCCGGGCTTGGGGAGTAGAAGAACTCCCAGAACCCCATCAACCAGGTATCACCATTATCTTAATTGTAACCACCGTCTATGTCCTCGACTTACAGCCGAGGGGGCTCGAGTTCCACCCCTGGGCTGGGCAGAAACGTTTGGGCACGTTTCCTTTCACCTGATGCCTTATAGAATATACCTAAAATAGATACCTTTGCATAAATGATTTCGGTGCTTTGCGTCCCCGCGGGCCGGTCCTCAAGCAGGTCTCCTTGTTGCTGGACTGGTCAACCAGGCCGTTGGACGCGGCTGCCCGCAACTTGACTTATGAGTCACAGCCTGGTCGATCAGGTATCCTTTGGAGGTGCTTATCCTTTGGGGACAGGCTTTTTGTCCCCATCAACTGGTATTATGTTTCGTCAGCGACCATTGTTAATACATGGACAGGTTGTTGTCAGTAGTTAAAAATATTACAAATGTCAATCAACTTGTTGTTAGGTGATTAGTAATGTTAGAGGGTGGTGGCCTACCCCCGGGGGGGGGGGGTCCAGCACGCTGACGAGATGAACCTAAATAACTGAGGAATGGAAACACATTGACGGGAAAGATGAAGGTAGGTAATTATCAGGAGATCACTGGGAAGGGGTCAGAATAAGGATTTGGAATGGAATGGGAGAAAGGAATGGTGCCCAACCACTTGGACGGTTGGGAATTAAACGCCGACCTGCATGAAGCGAGACCGTCGCTCTACCGTTCACCCCAAGTGGTTGGGGGGGGGGGGGAGGAATGAAACGATTGTTGTAGAAGACTATGCCAACACAAGAGATGGCACGGGCATGAGTAGCCCGGAGGTGGCATGGGCATGAGTAGCACGGAGGTGGCACGGGCATGAGTAGCCCGGAGGTGGCATGGGCATGAGTAGCACGGAGGTGGCACGAGCATGAGTAGCCCGGAGGTGGCACGGGCATGAGTAGCCCGGAGGTGGCACGGGCATGAGTAGCCCGGAGGTGGCACGGGCATGAGTAGCCTGGATGTGGGTAGATGTTTGGAGTTAACGTGATCTTTGGTCGTATAGCCTCTCCCTTTCCAGCCTGTTGCTTAGTGGGCGGCTGCCGGAGTGTGATGCTCTCTGGGTGACAGCTTGTCCTCTGTCCTTTTGAAGCCTTATGCTCCTGCTGCTGTCCTCTACTATTTTGTTGGTAGCTTTTTCCTCTTCCTCATGTTTCGTTTTTCCTCCTCACATCTTCTCCTTTCAGATTGTTCGCTACCTGCTGACTTTTTGCCATTCTTGAATGTTCTTTCTAATGTCTTCTTCTGTTTTGACACCCGGGTGTTTGGGGAGGCACACTCTCTCACCCAGAGGACTGTGGTACCCGACGTTGTCGAGCGAGAGGACTCACAATCGTTTCGGTCCAGGACGGACCGAAACGTCGTCGTCCTTTCACTTTCTAGAGTGTGGTTTTGTCAACCCGCTTTTATTGTTAAACTTTGCCTTTGCTGCTGAGCCTGATCTCGACGAACAGACGGTTCTTAAGGTGGGGATTGCAGGACATATACCCATGATGCACCCCTGGGGTGCCCCATCATGTAGGGTGTCTTATACTCTAATTGTGGCTCCATGATGGATATGGGGGCTTATTCGTGGATGAATTTTTGTTTTGTTCGTTTTTATGCCTTTTTCTGACCCTCCTTTAACTTCTGTGACTCGTGGGGTCTCAGAATGGAAATCAGACTGCCGAGTCGGACTGTGCTGGAAGATTGGGCTCTTTAACCTCTGCTACATTGGGCCCTGACCATGCTACTTCTCTGACTCTCTCTGCTCCCTTCCCACCTCTGGCGGGGTTGCGCCCCAAGCCCCCAGTGGTGACCTCCTCATCATCTAGCGTGGCTCCGTCTCTAGTTGTCACAACTGTGCCTTTTACCCCCGCTCTTACCAGGGGTGCTCGGCGCCATCACCTTCGCGCTCGCGTGCTCATGATTCCTTCCCACTCTCCTTCTTTCCAGGCTTTGTTTGGTCCTGCTACGTGGACTAGGTATTTGGATCTTAGTCATGTTGACGCTATTCGTCCTGATGATTTATTCCTCCATAAGGAATATGGATGGTATATCTACCCTCCATTAGGAAGATACGCTTATCACCTTTAACCCCACCCATACTGGTACCTGTGTTGTTGCAGCCCCTTCTCTGGAAGCGGCTGATCGCTTGACTTCGTTGTCCTTCATAGAGAAGATCCCTGTTCGGATCTCCAAAAATGCCCAGTTGAGTGCCAGCATTGGCACAGTTATTATCCCGCACCATGTTGAGACTGGTGACAGGGAACTGAAAGACTGCCATGAGAATATTAAGTATATCCTTGAGGCCCAATGCCATTATATCCTCCAGATAGATATCTTCATTCGACTCCCTCGTGGACGTCGTCAGCCTCTTCCCATTGTGAAGGTAATTTTTGATAGTAGGTCCCTTCCATCTTCCTTCATTCTTGCTGGTGCCAGATGCTCCATTCAGAGGTACATCCCCTCTCCTCGTCTCTGCTGCAGCAGATGATGGAGATTTGGGCATGGTCCCTTCAGGTGCACAAGTGAGGTGTGTCTATGCCCCTTGTGTGGATCTTCTTGAGAGGTTATCTTGAGATGATTTTGGGGCTTTTTAGTGTCCCCGCGGCCCGGTCCTTGACCAGGCCTCCACCCCCAGGAAGCAGCTCGTGACTGCTGACTAACACCCAGGTACCTATTTCACTGCTAGGTAACAGGGGCATAGGGTGAAAGAAACTCTGCCCATTGTTTCTCGCCGGCGCCTGGGATCGAACCCAGGACCACAGGATCACAAGTCCAGCGTGTTGTCTGCTCGGCCGACCGGCTCCCTGGAACCTCGGGTCATTCTAAAACAGGGTGCCCCTTCTTCCCAAGCGCTCTGCATCAATTATGGTGACGCCCACCCTGCCTTCTCCCGCGCATATGTGCACTACAAATTTGAGGAAGCTATCCTCAATTTGAAGCATCGTGATCCTTTGTCTTTTCCTGAGGCAAGACGCCAGGTTCGCTGTCTTCTCTCTTTCTCTGGCATGTTTTATGCTCGTGTGTTGCGTTCCCCTTCTTCTAGCCCTCTCCTGCTTTTCCAGTTCCACCTCGTTTCAAGGCCTTGGATCCGGCCCCTTCCACCACCACTTCGTCTGCTTCTTTACGTTCTGGGCCAGAGGGTCTTCCTCCTGGTTCTCCGTCTGGTGTTTCCTTCCTTCCTTCCTTCCCGGTCTTCCTTGTCTCCTATGCCCTCTTTCCCTTCTAGCCCCAGTCCTTCTCAGCCCTCCTCTCTGTCTCTCTTGGCCCTCCTCACAGTATGTCAGTTTGGGCATTGTCCATCCTCCTCCCAGCGTTTTTCATGTTGACCGTTTCTGTTCTCTTTCTGTTGAAACTGCTGAGGCTGTCGCCCAGTACGTTGCCTATGGTACGCCTGTTTCTCTACGTCAGAAACGTAAGCCTGGCTCCTCTTCTTCTTCCTCCCCAGCGGGTAAGAAAGCTTCAATATATTCCTCACCTTCTGACTCCGACACTATCCCTGCTTCCCCTCCCATATCAGTGGCAGAGTCACTGGTCCCTACTATGGAGGTTCCCTTGGTCCTTGATCCTCTCTTGGATGCTGTCTTTCATCCGGTGCTCTCTTCTATTTCTGTCCTTCCTGCCCCCAATTCCCTTGATGCCCCCCTCCAGCTCTGGACTCTGTTATTCCGCCTCTGGTCCATCTTCCCGCACCCTTGCCTTCATTATCTTTGCTAGCTCTGCCTATCCTAATTTCCATCACCCTGATTTAAATGATCCAGGTCCTGATCTTCCTTAGTCTACTGTGTTATTCTTTGCCTTTGTTTCTCCCTTGTTATCTCAGTTTCTGTTCTCTTTTTTTTGCCTATGTCTGTTCTTAAATAAAATATTCGTGGTTTTTATGCCAACTTCAATGAATTCCAACTTCTGATTGTGCAATTTTCACTGCTTTGTGTTTGTCTCCAGGAAAAAATGTTTTACACTCATTCTGGTCGCTTCTGTGCTTATTCCTTTCTTTCTTCCTTCTCCTCCAGCTTTTGCTGGAGCCCATAACACTAGTGCTCTCTTGATCCGTCATGATATTCCCTTCGTCCCCCTACTTTTTCAGTCGCCCATTCAGTGCTGTGCGGCCGAATCTTTGTGAGTAAATGGTATACAGTCTGTTCCATTTATCTCCCCCCAAATGTCCTGCTTTCTCTTCCTGATCTTAAACACCTGTTGGACTCCTTTCCAGAGCCTGTGCTCCTTTTGAATGATTTTAACTGTTGACATACCCTCTGGGGGTGATGTTCTGACAAACACCTTGGCTGTTTTCTTAAACCTTTTGACTTCTCGTTTTCTCTGTCTCTTCTGAGTTCTGATGAGCCCACTCACGTTGACTACCGCATTCACACCCTTTCCTGTCTTGATCTTTCTCTATGCTCATCTTCTCTTTATTTGGACTTCACCTGGCAGGTTCCTGATGACCTACATAACAGTGACCATCTCCCCATCCTTGTCACCATCTTCTCTTTTCACCCTCCCCTCTTCTTCCCTAGGTAGCAGTTTGCCAAGGCTGATTGGAACCTCCTCACCTTACGCGCTATACTTTCTGCCCTCTCTGACCTGCCTCTTCCCCGAGCCCTCCTCTTCTTTCTTGACACTGTTTTTTATGCTCCGTTCCTAGCTCTACCTCCCTGGGCATGCGGAGCTGTGTTCCCTTGTGGAATGCAGACGACGAATGCCCAATTCTTTTATTTTGTTTCGGAAAGCGAGTGCAGTGAGTTTTGGAAGGGGTAGGGCCATCCATATGGCTAAGCAGGAGGGTTGAAGATATTTTGTTTCCACCATTTCATCTGACACTCTGCCCCTGATTCGTAAGAAAATACTCAAGATAGCAGGTAAGTTTGTTCCAGATGTCTCGCCAGTCCTTCACCTCCGTGGTTCTGTTGTGGCGGATCTGGTGACGGTCGCGATTGAACTGGGTTCAGACTTTTCGACTGTTAGCTCCGGTTCTCATCTTCGTCCTTCTTTGCTTGCTCTTAAGTACTTCCTTGAATCTTGTCCCTTAGATTATCGCACTCATCTTCAGCTTCTCTACAACGATCCGTTCTCTCTCAGAACGCAGAGGGCCAGTCTGCCCTGACCCTCTGCGGTTCTATGGCGGCAAGCTTAGATGACATTCATAATGAGATGCCTTCTCCTTCCATACACGTTTGAGTATATACTGAGTGATTATAACCGTGTCCAGGAGTTGTCGTCATCTGTCTCTGAGGACTGGCTTGAGGCGGTTGTTCTTTCTATTCGGAAACCTGGTTCTCTATGGTCATCCCCTAAAGACTTCTGCCACAGTACTCTTACCAGTTGTGTCTGCAAACTCTTTGAACGTATGGTCAATGTCCATCTAATGTGGTTCTTGGAACACTATCACCTCCTCTTCCCTTCTTAAATTGGCTTTCGCAAGTGTCGCAGCACGACTGATGTCCTCGTGAACTTAGAGGTCAATATTCGTACTGCCTTTGCTGCGAAGACCTCTGTTGTTGATGTTATTTTTGTTATGGAAAAGGCGTATGATACCACCTGGACATACCATATTATGCCCCAACTCCGTTTTTTGGCCTTCATAGTAATCTCTCTCTCCTCCAAAGCTTCCTCTCTCGTCGATCCTTTCGAGTGCGGTTTGGTTCCACTCTCTCTGCCTTTTTTCAGCATTATGAAGGTGTATCCCAAGGTAGTGTTCTGAGCATTATGTTGGGGTACACTTTCTGAGCACTACCTTGGAGTACACCGACACGTCATCTGCAATTGATGCCGTGTCGTCCTTGGTTACCAATCATGGCTTCAAGTTCTCTACAGCTAAGACTTGTGTCATGACCTTTACATGGAAGCAGATGTTCTTCGGCCCCTTTTGTTGATATATGGTAATCCTCTTTTATATTAGGATTCTGCTAAACTTCTGGGGTTAATCTTTTACACTCGTTTGTCTTGGTCACCTCATATCTCTTACCTCAGAGTTAAATGTTCTAAGGCCCTTAACTTACTTAAGGTCTTGTCCCATACTTCCTGGGGGGTTGATAGGCACACACTCCTCTCTTTACATTCCTCTCTTGTGCTGTCTAAACTCGATTATGGCTGTCCTGCTTACTCATCTGTCTCTCCCTTAACTCTTCGTCGTCTTAATGCTATTCACCATACTGGGCTATGCCTCAGCTCTAATGCCTTTCATTCGACTCCTGCCCTAAGCCTGTAAGTTGAAAATGGCATGCTGTCTCTACAGGATCGCGTGATCGTTACTGTCGTCGCTACTTTGCGTGGTGCCCTACAACACCCTCACTCTCGCTTATGTCATACTTTGACCGTTACTCGTCCTGTGGCCCCTGTTCCCTTTCACCACCTTCCCCTTTCTGTAGGGTTGTTTCGCTTGCTAGGTTCTCTCTCGGTTCCTGTTGCCAATGTTTCTCCCCGTGTCATTCCATTATTGCCCCCATGGATGCTTGTCTTCCTAAGCTTTGTAGAACCTTGACCTGCATGACTAAAGCTTTTAACCCTCCTACAGTTCTAAAACGCCTTTTCCTTGCTCACTTTTCTTCAAACTCCCGCTCCATCTCCGTCTTCACAGATGGGTAAAAGTCTGTTGACGGTGTAAGCTACTCCGGTGTGTTTCCTGACAGCACCTATATGTGTTGCCTTCCTCCGGAGACTAGCATCTTCACAGCAGAATTTTATATAATTTTGTATGCTCTTCGTCAGCTGCTTGTTTGCCGTAATTCTTCCTTTGTTGTTGTAGTTGACTTTCTCAGTGCCCTCATGACTCTGGAGTCCTTTAATCCTGTCCATTCAGTGGTCGTAGAAATTCAATTTTGGCAATTTCTTATCTTCAGCAGATTTAAAACAGTCGAGTTTTGCTGGGTTCTCAGCCATATTGGTGTTTCCTTAATGAGCGTGTGGATGCCACCGTGAAGAAGGCTATTTGTACTTGTCCCCATTTCCTTCATAGGTGTTCCTTATTTTGACTTCTACCCAGTTATTGATTCCTCAATCCGTGCCCGTTGGCAGGATCGCTAGTCTTCTGTTACTGGTAACAAGCTGCGGGCTCTTAAGGATAGTGTGTCCCTGTGGCCTTCCTCTTATCACCGGGAAAATGCTCTGGCGAGGTTAGGTATTGGCCATACATGTTTAACTCACGGGCATTTAATGGAGTGCCGCCCTGCTCCTTATTGTCCAAATTGCATTGTCCCTCTTACGGTCGTGCATATCCTTGTTGAATGCCCTGACTTCCAGGATGTGCATGCATCTTGCTTCCCGACTGTCCCTCGCGGTCACCTATCCCACGATAGAATCCTTGGTGAATCGGATACCTTGGATGTTGTTCACCTAATGTGCTTTTGTTCTCGTATTGGCATCCTGAATGATATTTAGCCCCTTTTGAAAATCCCGCACACTTCACAGTGCTACATAGCCTTCCCGGCATCGTGCCTTCTTTTGTTAATTACTTACTTTGGTCGTGTAACATCATGAAGTGTCTCTGGGTCTGGAGCTAGGAACTCATCCTCTGGTGTTATTATAGCAGCCTATGATGCATCTGATTGATTCATGAAGGTTATGCCACCCGTTATTATTCTTGTTTTAGATTCAACTACTCGGAACAAAAATTCCAAGTAGCACGGGCTATGGTGCGCCCTAGTAGACTTATTAAGCCCCCCAAGAGGTGGCCAAATCTATATTAATCATGTTTATTTGATTATTAGAGGTATGATTCACTATATAAATTCATAAGAAAAATATTATTATGGGGTCTATATTTCGCTATATATGGTAACATTTTTATATAAACTTTTATGTTTGATTACGGTGCTGGCTAAGCCATGCTTTCTACCACCAGTAGACCTTTAACTGCCTTTCCTTAGGACCGTCTTAAGACCCTTTCACTTGGACTCGTCGGTAGAGCGGTCGCCTCGCGTCTTGACTTCTTGAGCAGGCGGGGTTCGATTCTCGATGGTCCAAGCAGTTGGGCACCATTCCTTACTTCCTTCCCATCCCAGATCCCTGTCCTCATATTCCCTTTCCAAGTGCTACATCGTCACCGACCACTAATAGTGTACTTCTTCCGACAGATTCTACTTCGGATCTTGCTGCAAATTGAGCCCAGGGACCCAAGATCTTTCCTCGGAGATTACCAATGAGATTCCCTCTGGAGAACGCCCTACCATCCCTGGCTACATCCCGACCCTGAAGCCGGGAGTGGCTACTACCGCGGGCGATGAAAGTGACCTGAAGACCTCAACAGAACACACCCCGATCACGGCCGAAGGAGCCACAGATGATCAGACTGCAACGAGTGATGGACAGACTGGAACCGGCGTAGGACAGACCGGAACCAGCATAGGACAGTCTGTAACACCAAGCATCATAAACAAAGTTGCAGCAGTCGGACCCATCGAAGGACAGACTGAAACCAGCACAGGACAGACTGGGACCGGCGAGGGACAGACTGGAACTACCGAAAAACAGACTGGAACCACCGAAGGACAGACTGGAACCGGCGAGGGACAGACCGAAACCACTGAAGGACAGACCGGAACCAGCGTAGGACAGTCTGTAACACCAAGCATCATAAACAAAGTTGCAGCAGTCGGACCCATCGAAGGACAGACTGAAACCAGCACAGGACAGACTGGGACCGGCGAGGAACAGGCTGGAACCACTCATGGACTTCCTGGATCTCCAGATACACAGACTGGAACAACTGTTGAAGATCAAGGGGACACCAGCCCCGATGAAGCCTCCACAGCGACTGAAGCGAGCGTTGCTGTTGATCCGGAGCCAACACACACTGACGTGACCGTTCCGGGTATCACAGAGCCCCAGGGACCTGAAAGCCCCGCTGTTGGTGGGAGCACTACAGTCTCTCCTGGAAGTGCCGCCACTCCTGAAGGAGGAGCTACTCTTCCAGAGACTGAACCTACCCTCCCTGATCTGGAGTCTGCCACGCCTGTTAGCGCTCCTGCTACCGAAACCACAGCCAAAGAACCAACAGCCGCCTCTCCAGAAGAATGCACGGAAGCAGTGTCAGGCTCTGTGGGTGATACGACTATTCCAGCACTTGAAGATACACAAAACAGTACCCATTCAGTACCGGAAACTGGCACCACAGTTGCTACCACAATCCAGGAAACTGGCTCGTCGGAGTTAACTGGGGTGACCGAGGATATCTTCAACAGAGAGTCAACAGAGAAGCCTACTTCAACGGACATGCCTACAACACCAGGCATAGTTGACAAGACCGCAGTAATAGGCCAAACAGAGCAGCCTGCAACACCAAGTGCAACAGAGAAGCCTGCAACACCAAGTGCAACAGAGAAGCCTGCAACACCAAGTGCAACAGAGCAGCCTGCAACACCAACCATAATAGACAAAGTTGCAGCAATAGGTCCAACAGTGAAACCTGCAACACCAAGTGTAGCAGAGCAGCCTGCAACACCAAGTGCTTCAGAGCAGCCTGCAACACCAAGTGCTTCAGAGCAGCCTGCAACACCAAGTGCTTCAGAGCAGCCTGCAACACCAAGTGCTTCAGAGCAGCCTGCAACACCAAGTGTTTCAGAGCAGCCTGCAACACCAAGTGTTTCAGAGCAGCCTGCAACACCAAGTGTTTCAGAGCAGCCTGCAACACCAAGTGCAACAGAGCAGCCTGCAACACCAACCATAATAGACAAAGTTGCAGCAATAGGTCCAGCAGTCAAACCTGCAACACCAAGTGTTTCAGAGCAGCCTGCAACACCAAGTGCTTCAGAGCAGCCTGCATCACCAAGTGTAGAAGAGCAGCCTGCAACACCAAGTGTAGAAGAGCAGCCTGCAACACCAAGTGTAGAAGAGCAGCCTGCAACACCAAGTGTAGAAGAGCAGCCTGCAACACCAAGTGTAGAAGAGCAGCCTGCAACACCAAGTGTAGAAGAGCAGCCTGCAACACCAAGTGTAGAAGAGCAGCCTGCAACACCAAGTGTAGAAGAGCAGCCTGCAACACCAAGTGTAGAAGAGCAGCCTGCAACACCAAGTGTACCAGAGCAGCCTGCAACATCAAGTGTTTCAGAGCAAACTGCAACACCAAGTGTACCAGAGCAGCCTGCAACACCATGTGTACCAGAGCAGCCTGCAACACCAAGTGTACCAGAGCAGCCTACAACACCAAGTGTTTCAGAACAGCCTGCAACACCATGTGTTTCAGAGCAGCCTGCAACATCAAGTGCTTCAGAGCAGCCTGCAACATCAAGTGCTTCAGAGCAGCCTGCAACATCAAGTGCTTCAGAGCAGCCTGCAACACCAAGTGTTTCAGAGCAGCCTGCAACACCAAGTGCTTCAGAGCAGCCTGCAACACCAAGTGCTTCAGAGCAGCCTGCAACACCAAGTGCAACAGAGCAGCCTGCAACACCAACGATAATAGACAAAGTTGCAGCAATAGGCCCAGCAGTCAAACCTGCAACACCAAGTGTTGCAGAGCAGCCTGCAACACCAAGTGTACCAGAGCAGCCTGCAACATCAAGTGTTTCAGAGCAAACTGCAGCACCAAGTGTTGCAGAGCAGCCTGCAACATCAAGTGCTTCAGAGCAGCCTGCAACATCAAGTGTTTCAGAGCAGCCTGCAACACCAAGTGTCCCAGAGCAGCCTGCAACACCAAGTGTTTCAGAGCAGCCTGCAACACCAAGTGTTTCAGAGCAGCCTGCAACACCAAGTGTTGCAGAGCAACCTGTAACACCAAGTGTACCAGAGCAGCCTGCAACACCAAGTGCAACAGAGCAGCCTGCAACACCAACCATAATAGACAAAGTTGCAGCAATAGGCCCAGCAGTCAAACCTGCAACACTTGATGTTGCAGAGCAGCCTGCAACATCAAGTGTTTCAGAGCAGCCTGCAACACCAAGTGTTTCAGTGCAGCCTGCAACACCAAGTGTAGAAGAGCAGCCTGCAACACCAAGTGTAGAAGAGCAGCCTGCAACACCAAGTGCAGAAGAGCAGCCTGCAACACCAAGTGTAGAAGAGCAGCCTGCAACACCAAGTGTAGAAGAACAGCCTGCAACACCAAGTGTAGAAGAGCAGCCTGCAACACCAAGTGTAGAAGAGCAGCCTGCAACACCAAGTGTAGAAGAGCAGCCTGCAACACCAAGTGTTTCAGAGCAGCCTGCAACACCAAGTGTTTCAGAGCAGCCTGCAACACCAAGTGTTTCAGAGCAGCCTGCAACACCATGTGTTTCAGAACAGCCTGCAACACCAAGTGTTTCAGAGCAGCCTGCAACACCAAGTGTTTCAGAGCAGCCTGCAACACCATGTGTTTCAGAGCAGCCTGCAACACCAAGTGTTTCAGAGCAGCCTGCAACACCAAGTGTTTCAGAGCAGCCTGCAACATCAAGTACTTCAGAGCAGCCTGCAACATCAAGTGCTTCAGAGCAGCCTGCAACATCAAGTGCTTCAGAGCAGCCTGCAACACCAACCATAATAGACAAAGTTGCAGCAATAGGCCCAACAGTCAAACCTGCAACATCAAGTGTTTCAGAGCAGCCTGCAACACCAAGTGTTGCAGAGCAGCCTGCAACACCAAGTGTTTCAGAGCAGCCTGCAACATCAAGTGTTTCAGAGCAGCCTGCAACACCAAGTGTTACAGAGCAGCCTGCAACACCAAGTGTTACAGAGCAGCCTGCAACACCAAGTGTACCAGAGCAGCCTGCAACACCAAGTGCAACAGAGCAGCCTGCAACACCAACCATAATAGACAAAGTTGCAGCAATAGGCCCAGCAGTCAAACCTGCAACACCAAGTGTAGCAGAGCAGCCTGCAACACCAAGTGTACCAGAGCAGCCTGCAACACCAAGTGTACCAGAGCAGCCTGCAACACCAAGTGTAACAGAGCAGCCTGCAACACCAACCATAATAGACAAAGTTGCAGCAATAGGCCCAGCAGTCCAGCCTGCAACACCAAGTGCAACAGAGCAGCCTGAAGCGACAACGGTAACGGAAATGCCTGACATGACAGAAACCTCAACATTACCTGTGGAAGATGACCTATTGACAAGGTTAAATACGTCAAATTACAAAGACAGTAAGTGCTAACCTTCCCTTGTTCATATATGCAACATTACTGGTTTACTTAAGGTCAAATAAGAGTGCCTTAGAGCGCAAAACGAGTATTATCATTCTGTACGATTTTTGACAAAGAAAACATTAAATTTTTCAAAATAATCAAATTTTCTACAACAACGAGATTTGTGTTAGTGAAGACCTGTAAACCACGCAATAGTCTGTGGGAGGCTTAATGGAAACACACTCGCCTCGCCTGCGATTTGGTTTGGGTTCGAGTCCTGGTCTGGGAGGATTGACTGGGCGCCAATCCTTAAGTGTTTGTCCCCGTTCAGCCAGAAGTAATTAGGTACCTGGTTGTTAACCGATTAGCGGGTCATGTTCCAGGGAAAACTAGAAGGGGGTTTAGGCTTACCATGAGTTATAGGAAGGAAAAGCTCTCAGCCTGCTAACATGAGACAGAAGTTGTCTGTTTTTTACGTATTGCGAAAATAATGTAAAATTAGTAAATTTTCAAAATTTTACAGACGTTAAATATGTTGTAATTTATGCAACCGAGAAGCGTTTGAACCATGTCACCCCCCTCCCCGCTCAGCTCATTGATGCCGTGAGGGAGTGGGCGGCTGCCAGAGTGTGATGCTCCTTGGGACAGTCCTCTGTCCTTTTCTAGCCTTGTGCTCCTGCTGCCGTCCTCTCCAATTGTGCTGAATACCTTTTCCTTTTCCTTCTGTTTCGTTTTTCTCCCCCCTCTTCTCCTATCTGCTTGTCGTTTCCTGCTGACCTTTTGCTTGTTTTGGATCTTTCTTTGGACTTCTTCTATTTTGATGCCCGGGTGCTTGAGGAGGCATACTCTTGCACCCGTAGAACTGTTGTACCCGACGTCTCGAGCGAGGGGAAACCTTTTATTGTCAATCCCCCTTTCGTCGCTGAACCCGATCTCGACGGACTGACGGTTCTTAAGGTGGCGTTTGTGGGGCGTATACTCACGACGCACCCCTAGGGGGTCCCCGGCATGATCGGCAATAGCTTCCTGTTGGGTGCCCTGCCTCTAATTGTGGCTCCATGGTGGGTGTGAGGGCACATTCGTGGATGAATTTCTTTCTCTTCGTCTCTATGTCGATAAATATTTCCGTTGTACCTTCTCAGGCTCGTGGGGTGGGCGACCAAGCCCCCGAGTCGGCCTGTATTGGAAGACCAGGCTCTGTAGCTCCCGCTGCGTTGGGCCCCGACCTTGCTTCTCCTTTGACCGTCCTGACTTCTTCCCCCAGCTCCCCTCCCTCCTCTGTAGTTGGGTCGAGCCTTCAGCCCCCAGTGGAGACCACTTCATCCCCTGGTGCGGCTAAGTCTCTCGTTGTGACTACTGCGCCTTTTAACCCCTTTCTCTCTCGGGGTTCTCAACGCCGTTTGCGCCCCGGCCGCACTCGCTCGATTCCTTCCCGTATTGCCGTGTATCAGGCCTTGTTTGGTCCCGCTTCATGGGCCAAATACTTTGATCTCCTCCCTCTTGATTCTGCGCCTCCTGACGATTTCTCCCTCCATCGGCATCTTGTTGATTCCGTGGATGCGTCTGTTACCTTCAACCCCACTCGTCTCGGTACACGTGTTGTTGCTGCTCCGTCTCAGGATGCAGCTTCCCGCTTGGCAGCCTTGTCTTGCCTTGGCGAGATCCCTGTTCGGGTCTCCAAGAATGTTCAGATGAATGCCAGTGTTGGCACTATTCTCCTCCCGCCCCATGTTGCAACCGGTGCTCGGAATCTGCAGGATTGCCACGATGATATTCGGCATATCCTTGATGCCCAAAGCCATTCAGTCCTCCAGGTTGACTCGTTTACTCGTCCCCCTCGTGGTCGTTGCCGTCAACCCCTTCGTGTTGTGAAGATCACCTTTGATGGTAGGACCCTTCCATCCTCTGTCATTCTTGCTGGTGCTAGGTGCTCTGTCCAGGAGTATGTTCCTTCTCCTCGGCTTTGTAACAAGTGCTGGAGGTTTGGGCATGGTGCCCTCCACTGCTCTGGGACTGTCTCTCTCTCTGTGCTTTGTGTGGGGGTGAAGGTCACTCTAAGTCGGAGTGCACTTCTCCCCAAGCTCGCTGCCTCAACTGGGGTGAGGCCCATCCTACCTTCTCCCGTGCCTGTATCCATTACAAGCTTGAGGCGGCCATCCTCAACTTGAAGCACTGAGAGCATTTATTTTTTCCTGAGGCGAGGCGCCAGGTTCGCCGGCTCTCGCCTTATGCTAACGTCTCTTATGCTCGCGTGTTGCGCACTTCCTCTCCTCGTCCTTCCCTCCTTCCTCTCCTCCTCCTTCCCTCCTTCCTCAGACTCACAACTGTTTCCGGCCCTTGGACCCTGATACGCCCACTATCCCCTCCTCTGTTTCTTTGAGTTCTGTCCCGAAGGGTCCCCCTCCTGGTCCTCTGTCTGGGGTTCCACTTCTTTTTACCAGGTCTGTCGTGTCTCCTGTGTCTTCTTCCTCGTCTCCCTCTGATCCTCCTTCCCATCCTCTTCCTCCATCTATTGGCTCTCCCCGCCGCCTGTCGGTGCAGGGGGATGTCCATCACTCTCCTAACGGCCGTCGTGTGTGCTCTCGTTCAGCTCCTCCTGTTGAGACACTGGAATCCGTTGCCCAGTACGTAGTTGCTGGGACACCGGTCTCTTTAAGTCAGAAGCGTAAGCCTGGCTCCTCTCCTTCCTTCTCCCCGGCAGGTAAGAAGGCTTCGCTTTGTTCCTTGGCCCCTACTTCTGGCTCTGTTACTCCTTCCCCTCCCATTTCTGTGCTTGCGCCCCCTGTTCCTGCTATGGAGGTTTCTTTGGCCCCTGCTTCCCTTTCGGTTGCTGCTCTTGCTGAGGTGCACTCCCCTCTTTCTACTTCCCCCCTTCCTGCTGCTGTCCTTGACTGCTCCTCTCCGTTGTCTCCTCCTCTTCCTCCTCCTCCTCCTCCTCCAGACCCCGCCCGCCCACCTCTGGTCTGTTCTCCCGCTTCCTTCCCTCCATCTTTGCTCAGTTTACCCATGACCCCTAACCCTGACTTTGCTGACCCTGATCCCGACCCTGATATTCTTTAACGTGCTGTGTTGCTCTTTCACCTTTGTTTCTTCCTTGTTCTCTGTTGTTATCCTTTCCCTTCTCGTCGATGTCTATTCTTCAATGGAACGTTCGAGGTTATTACGCCAATTTCCTCGAACTCCAACTTCTGATTTCGCGGTTTTCGCCCCTTTGTGTCTGTCTCCAGGAGCCGATGCTTGGTGCTCGTCCTGGTCGTTTTCGTGGCTATTCCTTTCTCTCCCCCCCCCCCCAGCCGTTGCTGGGGCTCCTAATTCTTTTGCTCTCTTGATCCGTGCTGATGTTTCATTTGTTCCTTTACTTTTTCCTTTGCCTCTCCATTGTTCTGCTGCTTGTATCTTTGTGGGGAAATGGTACACAGTTTGTTCCATTTATCTCCCCCCGAGTGTCCCGCTTTCTCTTCCTGATTTGAAACACCTCTTGAACTCCTTGCCGGAGCCTGTGCTCCTGCTGGGTGACTTCAATTGTCGTCATTCTCTTTGGGGTGATGTTCTGACGAATACCCGGGGTCGCCTTCTTGAGGCGTTTCTCCTCTCTTCTTCCTTGTCTCTTCTGAATTCTGGTGAGCCCACTCATTTGGACTCTCGGACTCACGCCCTTTCCTGTATTGATCTTTCTCTCTGCTCTTCTTCTCTTTACTTAGATTTCACATGGCGGGTTCTTGATGACCTCCATCGCAGTGATCTTTTCCCTATCCTTGTTTCCTTTTTCTTGTTTCGCTCTTCCCTCTCTTTTCCTAGGTGGCAGTTTGCTAAAGCGGACTGGAACCTATTTACCCTCAGTGCTGCTCTCTCTGACCTCTCCTTTCTGCCTCTCCCTCGCGCACTCCTCCTTTTTCATGACACTGTCTTCGATGCTGCCCTCCGCTCTATTCCTCGCTCTTCCTCTCAGGGTCCACGGAAGTGCGTTCCCTGGTGGAATGCGGACTGTGATCGGGCTGTCCGGTGTAAGCGTGCAGCCTGGAAGAGGCACCGCCGTCGGCAGATGACCGATTCTTTTCTTTTCTTTCGGAAAGCGAGTGCGGTGGCCCGTAGGGCCGTCCTTATGGCTAAACGTGACTGTTGGACTTCTTATGTCTCCACAATTACGTCCGAAACTCCCCTGCCACAGATCTGGAAGCGTATCCGCAAGATTGCGGGTAAGTTCGTTCCCGATGTTTCCTCGGTCCTTCACCTCCATGGTACTCTTGTAGCGGACCCGTTGCAGGTCGCTACCAAACTGGGTTCTCACTTTTCTTCTGTTAGCTCTGGTCTTCATCTTCCCCAATCTTTCCTTCTTCGTAAACCTGTACTTGAGTCTCGTCCTTTAGATTTCTGCACTCGTCTTCGACTTTCCTATAACGATCCCTTCTCTCTCTCTGAACTTCGTTCTGCCCTGGCCCTCTGCGGTTCTACGGCGGCGGGCTCCGATGGTATTCATTATGAGATGCTTCGCCATCTCCCTCCGTGCACATCTCAGTATTTACTGAGTCTGTATAATCGGATCTGGGAGTCGTCGTCAGTCCCAGAGGACTGGCTCGATGCCGTTGTCCTCCCTATTCACAAACCAGGGTGTCTGGGAACTTCCCCTAAGGACTTTCGCCCTATTGCCCTCACAAGTTGTGTCTGCAAACTCTTTGAACGTATGGTTAACGTTCGTCTGATGTGGTTCCTGGAACACCATCACCTCCTCTCCCCTTCTCAATTTGGTTTCCGCAAGTGCCGCAGCACGACAGATGTCCTGGTGAACTTGGAGGTCTATATTCGTACTGCTTTTGCTGCGAGGACCTCTGTTGTTGCCGTCCTTTTTGACCTGGAAAAGGCTTACGACACCACTTGGCGATATCATATTCTGTCCCAGCTTCATTCTTTTGGCCTTCGTGGTCATCTCCCTCACTTTCTCCGCAGCTTCCTGTCGCGTCGTTCCTTTCGGGTGCGCATTGGTACCACTCTCTCTGCCTTTTTTTTTCAGCAGTACGAAGGTGTGCCCCAGGGTAGTGTTCTGAGCATGACTCTTTTTCTTGTTGTCCTCAATGGTCTTCTTTCCTCTTCCTTCAGGTCTCTTCTCCGCTCTCTATGTCGATGATCTTACCCTTTGCTGTCAGAATGATGATTCGCCTCTCCTTCAGCGCCGGCTTCAACTTGCGATTGATGCCGTGTCGTCTTGGGCCACCGATCATGGCTTCAAGTTCTCTACTTCTAAGACTTGTGCCATGTCTTTTACTAGGAAACGGGTCGTTCTTCGTCCCTCTTTGTCACTTTATGGTCATTCCCTTGAGTACAAAGATTCCGCGAAGCTTTTGGGGTTATTCCTTGACACTCGTTTGTCTTGGTCTCCCCATATCTCTTACCTCCGTGTTGAGTGCTCTAAGGCCCTTGCCCTCCTTCAGGTATTGTCCCATACTTCTTGGGGGGCGGATAGGCGCACTCTCTTTGCTTTACATTCCTCTCTCGTCCTGTCTAAGCTCGATTATGGTTGCCTTGCTTACTCATCTGCTTCTCCTTCTACTCTTCGCCGTCTTGATGCTTTGCACCATACTGGGTTGCGCCTCAGTTCTGGTGCCTTTCGTTCGACACCCGTCCTTAGCTTGTATGTTGACACTGGCTTCCTGTCTCTCCAGGACCGCCGTGATCGCTACTGTCTTCGCTATCTTGCGCAATCCTTACAGCATCCTTCCTCTCGCCTCTGTCGAGCTTTAACTTTTACCCCTCCTGCAGTTCCTGTTCCTCTTCACCACCACCCTCTTTCTGTCCGGTTATCTCGCTTACAGGATTCTCTTTCCGTTCGTGTTTCTAATGTTTCTCCTCATGTTGTTCCTTCTTTGCCCCTGTGGAGAGTCCCCCTTCCGCAGTTTTGTACATCCTTAACCCGCATCACTAAAGCTTTTACCCCTCCTACGTTTCTAAAACGCCTTTTCCTTGAGCACTTTTCTTCTCACTCCCGCTCCGTTTCTGTCTTCACTGATGGGTCTAAGTCTGCGGACGGTGTTGGCTACTCTGTTGTTTTTCCTGATCACACTTATATGTGTTGCTTACCTCCGGAGACTAGCATCTTTACAGCGGAGCTTTATGCTATTCTCTATGCTCTTCGTCTCCTGCTTTCTCGTTGTCAGTCTTCCTTTGCAGTTGATGTTGACTTGCGTAGTGCCCTCATGGCTCTCGGGTCCTTTAATCCGGTTCATCCAGTAGTTGTCGAGATCCAGCGTTGGCTGTTTCTTGTCCACAGTAAATTTAAGTCGGTTGAGTTTTATTGGGTTCCCAGCCATATTGGTTTGTCTTTAAATGAGCATGCGGATGCTGCCGCCAAGGAAGCTGTCCACTCTTGTCCCATCTCTCGTAAAGGTATTCCATATTCCAACTTTTACCCGGTTATCCATTACTCCATTCTTACCCGTTGGCAGGCTTCTTGGTTGTCTGTTACTGGTAACAAACTTCGTACTCTTAAATGTTGTGTTTCCTCGTGGCCATACTCCTGCCACCGTAACCGACGATGGGAAACAGCTCTGGCGAGGTTGCGTATTGGCCATACTCGCTTAACCCATGGTCACTTGATGGAGCACCGCCCTGCTCCTTATTGTCCTAATTGCATTGTCCCTCTTACGGTCGTGCATGTCATTCTTGAATGTCCTGACTTCCAGGACGAGCGTGTGTCTTGGTTTCCGACCGCCCCTCGTAGTCGCCTGTCCCTCAATGAAATTCTTGGTGACTCGGATACTTTTGATATCGTTCGCCTTATGCGTTTTTGTTCTCGTATTGGCATCCTTGGTGATATTTAGTGCCCTCTGATTATTCCGCACTTTGATGGTGCTACATAGCCTTCCCGGTTTGGTGCCTTCTTTTGATAATTACTTACTTGAACCATGTCAGTCCACCTTACCTCTCTAGGAGCTCAGATTCATGAAGCAGTTACGCAAGCACTTACGAAGCTGTGCATCTTTTCTCAATCTTTAGCGGCTTTGTTTACAATTATTAAACAGTTAATGAGCTCCGAAGCACCAGGAGGCTGTTTATAACAATAACAACAGTTGATTGGGAAGTTTTCATGCTTGTAAACTGTTTAATAAATGTAACCAAAGCCGTCAAAGATTGAGGAAAGATGTACACGTTCGTAAGTACATGCGTAACGGCTTCGTGAATCTGACTCCAGGCTGCGCGGCAGTATCGTTAACAATACGGCGCATTGTGCAATGAGAACAGGTTGTAAACTACATGCATATTGCTCGACATAACAGCTTACTAACTCCCTCCCTCTCTCCGTAGTCTGTGGTGTTCCAGTCTACCCGACGGCGAGGATCGTGGGAGGGAACGAGGCCGCCTTTGGAGAGTGGCCGTGGCAGGTGAGGGGACCCCTCGCACGAAACCTCTACATCTTGGCTCAATCGTGGCGGCTTAGTCCGTATTTATTAAGCAGTTCAGTACATGTAAACAAAGCTGCCATTATTGATGACAGATGTACAGGTGTCGTAAGTGTGTAGTGAATTGATTGATGAGTCCTGCCCTTGATGTCAATACTTATATTTACAAAAGAACAAAAATATCACACAGTTGAACCATCATAACTTTTGGAGAACTTTTTGGTATAACTTCATGAAGTAATTTATATTAAATGTTACTTACACTTGTCATTATGTCAGTGCTGCTGAGGACGACTAAGGTAAGCTCTACAACGTTGTTCACCCACACGTATACATACATACATACACATATACATATATGAAAATCATTTTGTGGGATTGGAGTGACTTGAACTCGCGACCTCATGATTCCGAGACGCCTGCGTTAACTGACGTAGCCACGATGGTACAACAGTTGACCCATCCAGAACTTTATTGAGTTCTCTGGAAGGTTCTGGAGGCCCCGAACCGGAACGCATCCAGGGCTTTACCTGGGTTTCAGTTCGGCCCCCCAAAAACCTCACAGAGAACTCTGTAGTAGATTTCTGTGTTGGTCGACTTTTGTACCATCGTGGCTGAGTCGGTTAAGGCAGGCGTCTGGGAATCACCAACACGCGGGTTCCAGTCACTCCATTCCCTTAAAATAGTTGTCAATGATATATCAAGCCAATGTGATTTCATTGCGAACATATATTTTTCAGTGTCAGAGTAGTTAACAAGTGGAATGCACTAGGAAATGTGGTGGAGGCTGACTCCATACACAGCTTTAAGTGTAGATATGATAGAGCCCAGTAGGCTCAGGAATCTGTACACCAGTGGATTGACAGTTGAGAGGCGGGACCAAAGAGCTAGAGCTCAACCCCCGCAAGCACAATTAGGTGAGTACATACATACACGTGCACATAAACATATATACATACATACATACATACATACATACATACATACATACATACATACATACATACATACATACATACATACATACATACATATATATATATATATATATATATATATATATATATATATATATATATCATACATACATACATACATACATACATACATACATACATACATACATACATACATACATACATACATACATACATACATATATATATATACATATATATATATATATATATATATATATATATCATACATACATACATACATACATACATACATACATACATACATACATACATACATACATACATACATACATACATACATACAGTGGTTGCTGTGGGTATTAAGGAGCAGGAAGGATCTAATAGGACAGAGTGGAGTGACAAGGACAAAGCAGCAGTGAATGAAGTACTAAAGGCACTAGACATGGAAGGGGCTGAGCATAGCATTGAGAAGGTTTTCAGGCTAGGCCGGTACAACAAAGACCGAGACCGAATGATAAAGATAGTGTTTGCAAACGAGAACACAAAGGAGAAGATCCTATCAAGGAAGAGCTCCCTGAAAAACGTGGGAAAATTAAAAAATGTATTCCTCCAAAGAGACATGACAAGGGAGGAGAGAGCCGTGGCGGCAGAAGCAAGGAAGAGGCGCAGGGCGAGAGGGGAAAACCAGGAAGTCACAGCTCCCAACCCAACACCCCCAGAGGCGAGGGGGGAACCCACAACCAGCTACCCAGTAACGCCAGAAGGGAGGACAACCCCGCCTCCCTCCTCTGCATAGAAAACCCCCCTACCCCAAACCCTCCCTGCCCCCACTCAAATGTTCAGCAAAATCTCCCTCCTCCCACACCCAATCCCCACCCTTCTACCCCTCCCCTCCTCCCGAGTCCTCCCTCCCCCCCTTTCCTTCCCGTCCTCCCTCCCCTTTCACCCCATACCCTCCCTGTCCCTCCCCCTTCACTGGATCCCCCGCACCTCATCCCAGTATCCTCTGAGACCCTGTTATCCACCTCACAGGTCCTCACACCCATGGAACAGCCTCCCCCACCAGCAGAACACTCACCAAGGAGGCGATTTGAGAAGGGACAGAAGAAAGTGAGCCTCAAAGCGATGTACACAAACATAGGTGGAATTACAAATAAAGCAAATGAGCTTGGAGAACTGGTACTAGAGGAAAACCCAGACATAATAGCCCTCACAGAAACAAAGATCACGAAAACGATAACAAATGCAGTGTTCCCACAGGACTATTATGTTATGAGGAAAGAGAGGGAAGGAAGAGGTGGGGGTGGTGTAGCTCTGCTGGTAAGACAAGGCTGGGATTTTGAGGAGATGGATATTCAGGGCTGTGAAGGTTTCAGTGACTACATAGCAGGTACTGTAACAAATGGAGGGAAAATATTATAGTCGCAGTCATATATAATCCACCACCAAATGACAGAAGACCTAGACAGGAATATGATAGAAACAACATGGCCACCATTAACATAATAGAAAGAGCAGCTTCTGTTGCTAGCAGGAATGGATCTGGACTACTAATTATGGGAGACTTCAACCATGGGAAGATAGATTGGAAGAACAGAGACCCGCATGGAGGACCAGAAACATGGAGAGCTAAGCTGCTGGACGTGGCAACAAGAAACTTTCTAAGCCAGCACACCAAAGAACCAACAAGAATGAGAGGAGAAGATGAACCAGCAATGCTTGATTTGATATTTACCCTAAATGAATGGGATATAAGGGAAGTTAAGATGGAAGCTCCCTTGGGAATGAGTGACCACAGTGTATTGAACTTTGAGTACCTGGTAGAGCTAGGACTTATCTCCCCCCCAAAAAAACTAGGAATCAAAAGGCTGGCATACCGAAAGGGGAATTATGAACAGATGAGAAGTTTCCTAAGTGAAATACCTTGGAACACAGACCTCAGAGACAAGTCTGTACAGGGTATGATGGACTATGTTACCCAAAAGTGTCAGGAGGCAGTAAACAGGTTCATCCCGGCCCAAAGGGAAAAATCCGAGAAGCAACAGAAGAATCCATGGTATAATAGGGCATGTATGGAAGCGAAGAAACTGAACAAAAAGGCGTGGAGGAACTTCCGGAATAACAGAACACCAGAAAGCAGAGAGAGATACCAGAGAACCAGGAATGAGTACGTCAGGGTGAGAAGAGAAACAGAGAAAAATTTTGAAAATGATATAGCAAACAAAGCCAAGACCGAACCAAAGCTACTCCACAGTCACATCAGAAGGAAAACAACAGTGAAAGAACAGGTATTGAAACTTAGAACAGGCGAGGACAGGTATACAGAGAATGACAGAGAGGTGTGTGAGGAACTCAACAAGAGGTTCCAGGAGGTCTTCACAATAGAACAGGGTGAGGTCACTGTGCTAGGAGAAAGGGAGGTAAACCAGGCGGCCTTGGAGGAGTTCGAAATTACGAGAGAGGAGGTCAAGAGACACCTGCTGGATCTGGATGTTAGAAAGGCTGTTGGTCCAGATGGGATCTCACCATGGGTACTGAAAGAGTGTGCAGAGGCACTTTGCCTGCCACTCTCCATAGTGTATAGTAAGTCACTAGAGACGGGAGACCTACCAGAAATATGGAAGACGGCGAATGTGGTCCCAATATACAAAAAGGGCGACAGACAAGAGGCACTGAACTACAGGCCAGTGTCCTTGACTTGTATACCATGCAAGGTGATGGAGAAGATCGTGAGAAAAAACCTGGTAACACATCTGGAGAGAAGGGACTTCGTGACAAATCGCCAACATGGATTCAGGGAGGGTAAATCTTGCCTTACAGGCTTGATAGAATTCTACGATCAGGTGACACAGATTAAGCAAGAAAGAGAGGGCTGGGCGGACTGCATTTTCTTGGATTGTCGGAAAGCCTTTGACACAGTACCGCATAAGAGGCTGGTACATAAGCTGGAGAGACAGGCAGGTGTAGCTGGTAAGGTGCTCCAGTGGATAAGGGAGTATCTAAGCAATAGGAAGCAGAGAGTTACGGTGAAGGGTGAGACCTCCGATTGGCGTGAAGTCACCAGTGGAGTCCCACAGGGCTCTGTACTCGGTCCTATCTTGTTTCTGATATATGTAAATGATCTCCCGGAGGGTATCGATTCATTTCTCTCAATGTTTGCGGACGATGCTAAAATTATGAGAAGGATTAAAACAGAAGAGGACTGTTTGAGGCTTCAAGAAGACCTAGACAAGCTGAAGGAATGGTCGAACAAATGGTTGTTAGAGTTTAACCCAACCAAATGTAATGTAATGAAGATAGGTGTAGAGAGCAGGAGGCCAGATACAAGGTATCATCTGGGAGAGGAAATTCTTCAGGAGTCAGAGAAGGAAAAAGACTTGGGGGTTGATATCACGCCAGACCTGTCTCCTGCAGCACATATCAAGCGGATAACATCAGCGGCATATGCCAGGCTGGCCAACATACGAACGGCATTCAGAAACTTGTGTAAAGAATCATTCAGAACTTTGTATACCACATATGTCAGGCCAATCCTGGAGTATGCAGCCCCAGCATGGAGTCCATATCTAGTCAAGGATAAGACTAAACTGGAAAAGGTTCAAAGGTTTGCCACCAGACTAGTACCCGAGCTGAGAGGTATGAGCTACGAGGAGAGACTACGGGAATTAAACCTCACTTCGCTGGAAGACAGAAGAGTTAGGGGGGACATGATCACCACATTCAAGATTCTGAAGGGGATTGATAGGGTAGATAAAGACAGTCTATTTAATACAAGGGGCACACGTACTAGGGGACACAGGTGGAAACTGAGTGCCCAAATGAGCCAGAGATATTAGAAAGAACTTTTTTAGTGTCAGAGTGGTTGACAAATGGAATGCATTAGGAAGTGATGTGGTGGAGGCTGACTCCATACACAGTTTCAAGTGTAGATATGACAGAGCCCGATAGGCTCAGGAATCTGTACACCTGTTGATTGACGGTTGAGAGGTGGGACCAAAGAGCCAGAGCTCAACCCCCGCAAACACAACTAGGTGAGTGCAACTAGGTGAGTACATACATACATACATACATATATATATACATATATATATATATATATATATATATATATATATATATATATATATATATATATATATATCATACATACATACATACATACATACATACATACATACATACATACATACATACATACATACATACATATATATATATATATATATATATATATATATATATATATATATATATATATATATATAAATATATATATATATATATATATATATATATATATATATATATATATATATATATATATATTAAATACGTTAAATATGTAGTCATTTAGGCTAACGAGGAGCGTTTAAACCACGACTCTCCTACACATCTGTATGCTTCCTATGACTCATCTACACACCTGTATGCTTCCCATGACTCACCTACACATCTGTATGCCTCCCATGACTCACTTACACACCTGTATGCCTCCCATGACTCACTTCCATACCTGTCGTCCTCATACCCACTTTAATTATACACCTGCCTCTCGCAGCAACAGGTGTGGTAACAGGGGTGTCCGTTCCTTCCCCTACAGGTGTCTCTGAGACAGTGGCGACAGGTTACGTTCCTCCACAAGTGTGGCGCCGCGCTCCTGAACGAGAACTGGGCCATCACAGCTGCTCACTGCGTCGAAAAGTGAGTGGGTTACCGAGCACATAGTTCACAGTTACCTGAGTTTGTTTGATGGCCTAACCTAACCTAACCAAGACTAAACTAATCTATCCAAATCTAACCTATCCTGACATGACCTAGCCTAACCTTACGTAACTTAACTTAACCTAACCTAACCTAACATGACCTAGCCTAACCAAACCTAACCTAACCTAACCTAATATGACCTAGCCTAACCAAACCTAACCTAACCTAACCTAACACGACCTAGCCTAACCAAACCTAACCTAAACTAACCTAACCTAACCTAACTTAACCTAACATGACCTAGCCTAACCTAACATGACCTAACCTAACCTAACCTAACCTAACCTAACCTAACCTAACCTATCCAACCTTACCTAACCTAACTAACCTAACCTAACCTAACCTAACCTAACCTAACCTAACCTAACCTAACTTAACCTAACCAAACCTCACCTAGTTGATGTTTGTTGTTTTTGCCAAATCCAGACTCCCAGTCATATAAGTTTTAGAATAACCAGATATTTGTTAGTTTATAATACTAAACCTTTATGGACTTTGCCTGATCAAACAGACCACATCTTAATGTAACCAAACCTTGTCCACCTTTGACTAACTAAGGCTTCGACAACCTGGACTAACCAAGCCTTACCCAGCCTGGACTAACCAAGCCTTATCTAGCCTGGACTAACCAAGCCTTACCCAGCCCGGACTAACCAAGCATTACCTAGCCTGGACTAACCAAGCCTTACCCAGCCCGGACTAACCAAGCATTACCAAGCCTGGACTAACCAAGCCTTACCTAGCCTGGTCTAACCAAGCCTTACCTAGCCTGGACTAATCAAGCCTTACCTAGCCTGGACTAACCAAGCCTTATCTAGGCTTGACTAACCAAGCCTTACCTAGCCTGGTCTAACCAAGCCTTACCTAGCCTGGACTAACCAAGCCTTATCTAGCCTGGACTAACCAAGCCTTATCTAGCCTGGACTAACCAAGCCTTATCTAGCCTGGACTAACCAAGCCTTATCTAGCCTGGACTAACCAAGCCTTATCTAGCCTGGACTAACCAAGCCTTATCTAGCCTGGACTAACCAAGCCTTATCTAGCCTGGACTAACCAAGCCTTATCTAGCCTGGACTAACCAAGTCTTATCTAGCCTGGACTAACCAAGCCTTATCTAGCCTGGACTAACCAAGCCTTATCTAGCCTGGACTAACCAAGCCTTATCTAGCCTGGACTAACCAAGCCTTATCTAGCCTGGACTAACCAAGCCTTATCTAGCCTGGACTAACCAAGCCTTATCTAGCCTGGACTAACCAAGCCTTATCTAGCCTGGACTGACATACTAGAAAATGATCAGAAGTAACCGTCACGTAATCTACCCCCATTAACTAACTACCCCATCTACCTCATCAACTAACCACCCCATCTACCCCATCAACTAACAACCCCAACTACCTCATCAACTAACCAGCCCCATCTACCACATCAACTAACCACCCCCATCTATCCAATCAGCTAACCACCCCATCTATCCAATCAGCTAACCACCCTATCTATCCAATCAGCTAACCACCCCCATCTATCCAATCAGCTAACCACCCCATCTATCCAATCAGCTAACCACCCCATCTATCCAATCAGCTAATCACCCCATCTATCCAATCAGCTAATCACCCCATCTATCCAATCAGCTAACCACCCCCATCTATCCAATCAGCTAACCACCCTATCTATCCAATCAGCTAACCACCCCTCCTTCTATCCACAGCTTACAGCCAGAACAGCTGCTTCTAAGGCTAGGAGAGTTCGACCTGGAGCGGACAGACGAGCCGTATCCCTACGCTGAGAGGAAGGTCCAGATCATCGCTACCCATCCCAAGTTCGACCCCCGCACCTTCGAGTTCGACCTTGCCCTCCTGAGGTAAAGTGTGCTTGCCGGTACTTGCAGAGGTAGATGGTAGAGTCGGGGTGGATGGTAGAGGCGGGTTGTAAATGATCTATCGCAGGGTAAAGAGGATGTGCTTGGGATAGATAAGGTAGAATGTGTGTTTTGCTAAATATGGAAATTTTATGTGAAGAAATTTGCTTGTACATACATGAAAATGTAGTTAATACGACATGCACAACAACTATAATGAAGCCATATATAGATAGAACAAATACACAAAGGCCGTGACGAGGATTCGAACCTACGTCCGAGAGCATCCCAGACGCTGCCTTAATCGACTGAGCTACGACATGGTATAAGAACTGCAACCGGGAAATTTTCTTGATTTACCAACAGATCCTCCAGTCTCTCCAAGACACAAACCAGGGTTTGGAGCAATTCCCCCAAGCACTCGGACTATGTCAATTGGCTGTTCTACGTTTTAGCCCTTACGCCCTTACGCCCTTACGCCCTTACGAAGGGCGTAAGGGCTAAGAGGTAGAACGGCCTATTGACATAGCTCGAGTGCTTGGGGGAATTGCGCCAAACCCCTTGTTTGTGTCTCGGAGAGACTGCAGGATCCGTTGGTAAATCAAGAAAATTTCCCGGTTGCAGTTCTTATACCATGTCGTAGCTCAGTCGATTAAGGCAGCGTCTGGGATGCTCTCGGACGTAGGTTCGAATCTTCGTCACGGTCCTTGTGGATTTGTTCTTTTGATGCATCACGCTATTGTGATTTATGTGTGTAATATATAGATAGATAGATCCAGAGATAAGCAGATATACGTGGAGAATTATAACGGCGATAATAGAGAGATCTTCACGTGAAGGGAGGCGCATGGTATATGAACACAGAGCGTGCCCGCGAGTGTACACGCACACACACACACACACACACACACACACACACACACACACACACACACACACACACACACACACACACACACACACACACACACACACACACACAATAAAATCAAAATAAGCTTGCCTGTTGAAAGGTTCACAAGCAAGCAAAACAATGGCCTCATATATGTTGTTCTAACTGTGACTTGCCTGCGACAGGTTCTACGAACCGGTCAGCTTCATGCCCAATATCATCCCCATCTGTGTACCTCAGGACGACTACAGCTTCCTCAACGACACTGGCTACGTAACAGGGTGGGGAAGGCTTTACGAAGGTGAGTTGCAGTCGAGGAGCCACAGGTCGACCTCGAGTCTGGGGTCTTGAGGTCGACCTCCAGTGTCTTGTAACGTACTAAGATTACAGTTTCCTTATAGTATCCTGTTTCATTACGATTACAGAGTTTCCCTGCGGTGTTTTCGACCATAATAAGTTTAAAAAAAATTCCCTGTGATAGCTTAGCTTTCGTGAAAGATTTTTACAGAATCGCCAGTGAACACCTCACTGGTGAAAACTTTACAAATTTATTCCCGAAGGATGACTAACTTTAGGAGCACTAACAGCTTTCTATAAGTGTGACTTCTACAACTTTCCGATCAGCCTATGTACATGCTCTTTGTCCCTGAGAGTGGGAATTATTACAACATAAAATAAGAATACCTACCGCATGGGAAACAGAGATCCACTGAACATGAGAGAGAGTGCCAGTTTATTTGCCCTTACAACAGGTAAAAAGCTTAGCAATCAACTGATGATATTTACTTTCGGGTTACAGAAGAAGTTTGCAGAAAGGGACAATATTTTTTGGGTTTATATAATTGCAATTAAATCCTCATAATACACTACAAAATTATTGTAAAATATACTCTTAAATCCAGAATAAACAACAGGTGTCTCTCAGATCTTTTTGTGGTATGTCACTCTCATTTACAAGTTTGGATAATATGTAGAATTGTTGATAAAATTATTAGGCAATGACATGGGCTCAACCTTGCTACTAAGGAGCCCAGAGGCGCAAGTTCGATCCCATTTCATTGCCTCGCCTCCACACTGGCTTCACTTTGCTACTAAAGAGCCCAGAGGCGCAAATATCTGACCTATTTCATTGTATATGTAGTGTGCTTCACTCTGGCCTATGTCATTGTATATGTAGTATGCTTCACTCTGGCCTATTTCATTGTATATGTAGTATGCCTCACTATCTGACCTATTTCATTATACAAGTAGAGTTTACTTCACCATCTGTTCTATTTCATTAGACATATAGAGGCTTATCTCACTATCTGTCCAATTTCATTGTAAATGCAGAGTTTACCTCCCCATTGACCACAGTAGATTAAAGCCTGTCACTAATCCTCACACCATAATACCTGGCAAATGTAGGGACCGTCTGTACCATCATACCAGTATAAGGTATGATCTGTTCCATCTGGTCAGTGTAGGGTACAGTTTGTAACCTCTGGTCAGTGTAGGGTACAGTTTGTAACCTCTGGTCAGTGTAGGGTACAGTTTGTAGCTTCTGGTCAGTATAGGGGACAGTTTGTAACCTCTGGTCAGTATAAGGGACAGTTAGTAACCTCTGATCAGTATAGGGGCCAGTTTGTAACCTCTAGTCAGTATAGGGGACAGTTAGTAACCTCTGATCAGTATGGGGGACAGTTAGTAACCTCTGGTCAGTATAGGGGGCAGTTTGTAACCTCTGGTCAGTATAGGGGACAGTTTGTAACCTCTGGTCAATATAGGGTACAGTTTGTAGCTTCTGGTCAGTATAGGGGACAGTTTGTAACCTCTGGTCAATATAGGGTACAGTTTGTAGCTTCTGGTCAGTATAGGGTACAGTTTGTAACCTCTGGTCAGTATAGGGGACAGTTTGTAACCTCTGGTCAGTATAGGGGACAGTTTGTAACCTCTGGTCAGTATAGGATACAGTTTGTAACCTCTGGTCAGTATAGGATACAGTTTGTAACCTCAGGTCAGTATAGGGTACAGTTTGTAACCTCTGGTCAGTATAGGGATACATTCTGTACCATACAGAACTGTGTGTGTGTGATAGTTGACATCTTTCACACACAGTGTCTTGTTAACTGCTATCATGACTATCTTGTCTGATTCTGTTATTTCTGCTTCGTTTTCTAATTTCGTAATATGAACTTGAAGCCTAAGGCGAGACTTCGCTAGACTGCAAAATCTTAATCAAAACTGCATTCTCCTGACGCTGGGATTGCATTTACGAGTTTTGCTCTTCAAGCTAATTATTGTGTATGTAGAAGCCAACCTATCCTCCAAAACTGATATAATCAGAGCTATTCTAGACGTAATGTACAAAATATGGACTATTAGACTAAAACAAAAATAAACAAATGTTTTGTACTATAGAAGTACTAAAGTGCACAACAGAAAATGGAACGGATTAACCATAAACCTAACTTAACCTGTTTTACGTCAAAATAAGAAATCCTAACCTACGCAGCCTTATGCTTAATTATCTGTGGTGTACAACCTGTCCTCAAGTGGTTTGAACATGTAGAGTTTACCTCACCCCTTACCTTACTTTGACACGCCCTCTGCGCGTGTCAAGGAAAATGAATTTACCGTAGACCTTTTATATATTTAAACCATCACATTATAATACATTACAATTATAACTCGAGAATATTCTCTGTTTAGGACAATTGTTCACTTTACCTTCGAGGGGTTTGTACCTTCATGGTAATAATTTCCAAACCACTATGTAATTAGCGGTATTATCTACTTCTTAGCTATGATTACTCTACATTAAGGTTAGGTTAGGTTAGGTTAAGGCTAGTTTGGTTAGGTTAAAATAGTGTGTAATTCCCAAACACCATGAAATGTGGAATTTGAAAACCATTTGACCAACCCTTAGAATTTCACATTAAACAAAATCTAAGCCCTTTGGATGTTAGTTTAGTGTGCTAGAAAATAAATTTGCCGAAGACTTATACATTTTAAACCATGAATTTATAATACAAAGCAGTAATAACTCGGGAATATTTTTTGTTTAGGACAATTGTTTACTTGCCAGTTTACAAGTACGCTATGATTGGAACTGTAACATGCCATCCCAAATATCTAAGTAACTACACAGGTGGTGTGAGAGGGAGGTTGGTGTATCGGTCCAATAACTTTACCCTCAGAATGGGCAGACACCATAGTGGTCCTAGAAAAAATTAGATATGGTTTTTGCCTACTTTCTTGGGCCCTCTATAATTTTAATACTATAATGTTCTCTTTTTTGGGGTGCATCTCTCCATTTTATACTACCATTCATGGTAGGTATAGACAGTATACGTTTTAGATACAGGCTTTTACTTACCTAGGAGAAAGGTTATTTCTAATAAAAAAATTGTTAGAAGTAATAAACGTGGCCACATACTAGCCTAGGCATGCTTTTGTCAAGTGTGTGGCCACACACTAGTCTACTGCTCTCAGTACTTTCCCCAAGTTCATAGAGTTTCAAGATTCATTTTTGAATTGAAACTGGTATTCTGCACTAGAAGATTGTGGAAGGTGTGGTGAGTGTGTTCAGGAGCCTTGTTAGCACATCAGCCCGTCGGAGCAACCCTTCCTCCGAATAGACAGTACCTTTTAATACTAAATTGTAATAAGTAAAATCCTGACCGTCCGCATTGCACATAAATAAACTTAATTGTGCTGTTACATTTGCCTCTCCAAACATTCTTTGCATTTTCTGTTAATACACTTAAAGCTTATAGGTTGAAGTTTTCGTGTTAGAATGAATATACACAAGTTTTAAATATATAAAAAAATATTTTTCAGTTTCATTAAACAATAGAGATTTTAGACAAAATTTGAAAATATCCTGAGTTACTTTATAATTTATTGAAAAACATTAGTTTTGTTTTATTAGTTTTATAAAATTATAATATCAATATAGCTATAAGTTAAGTGCTAATTGTAATTAAGAAGCCATAAATGCTATTTACATGCTTGTCCTCCTACACTCCCAAGGTTAGGTTAGGTCGTGGTTTTCTATACAGCTTTTCAGGTAAACACTAATATTCACAATATTTTGGTGCGATGCTGGCGATTAAGTGTATTTATGTACTATGCCGATAGTCAGGAATGTACTTATTACATTTAGTATTAAAACGTACTGTCTATTTCGAGGATGGGCTGTTAATTGTCACAACGTCACATAAATAATGTACTAAATTGATAGAACTTAACCTAACCTTAAGACCCATGCATAGAAAATGTGGTTGTTTGTGAACCGCTGTGAGAGTACAGCATATGTTGTCTTCATGGATTTCGACGTAAAAATACGATGTATTAATCGAGAGAACAGGTTGCCCTGCCCTCTCCCGCTTATGTTCTTGTCAACGATGACCAGTAGGTGACCTGTGGGTGAACTTCGGTGACCTCTGGGTGACCTTTGGTGACCTGTGAGTGACCATTGGTGACCTGTGAGCATCTCTATACGTTCTCTAACTCTGTGTCTTCCTTCACCTTTATCCCAGCACGAGAATCTCTGTGTCTGTATGTATATATATTTTTATATGTATACTTTCTGTATTTACATATCTTTGTATCTGTATTCCTCTAAGTTTGCATTCATTTGCCTGTGTACCTTTGCACGTTTGTATTCTTATGTCTGTGTTGCTGTACCACCTTGCGTGTGTGTGTCTGTACCGCCTTGTGTCTACGCACCTGTGCAGTGTCTCTGCTTCTGTCATACAGTGGACGCCGACCAGAGACGACTCCCAGCAGTAACTTGACCACATTTTAGATTCTGGCAAAACTTGACCCATAAATGTTTAGACTGATAACTTGAAGTTTAATCAAGAACAGAAATTGTTTCCAAATGTATATTTGTTCATTTTTTGTTGTCATTAATCTCCGCAAACAGTATTACATAGTTTCCCCTTAACTTTTTGTTTCTAAGTAATTGATATGAGTAGGTCTTACTCAAATACTCAAACTTCCATTTATAAACGTAATTATTATTTTACAGAGTGACAACGTAGTAAATAAAGTAAACGCAAATCATACAAATATTTTACACAAGACTTTGTATTTAGTTAAATGTAAACTTTGGTTTCAAGCACACAAATTCCTTTCGACTCGACTATTTATATGTGCATTTGTCCAGATTTTAACATTTTATATATATATATATATATATATATATATATATATATATATATATATATATTTATATAATATAATAATAACCTCTGGCAGAAGTTATTATATATAAATATATAATAACTTCTGCACTAATTAGGTGTTCATTTCAAAAGACTGACATTAAAATAAGCGTGAGGAAGCGCCCGATTGTTTTCCATATATTTCAAGTCATATTCACACTCAATTGTATGATTCCAGTTCTCTAAACAAACTAGAACTCATTCCATAAATCAATGATCCTGATCCCCTGTCTAAACGAGAGAATTGTCTTAATTTCCTGTCTTAAAAACAATGATCTTCATTCCTTGTCTTAAAAGTAATGACCTTGATTTCCTGTTGCACCTAGAATTTTCTTGATTCCCTCTAAAACATTACCTTGAACCCCCTATAATAGAAATAATTTACCAACCAGTGTGAAGGACAATAATATGTATATATCTCACTGTTGCTTGTGTGAGTCCTGTTGCTTATTCAGCTTGGTATAAATTGTGAGAACTCGTCTAAATGTTGTGTACATATCTATATAACTGTTCAAATGTTGCGAGCTGTATGTAAACAACTGTTTATAAACCCCATCAACTTGGATTTTCACAATGTGGAGAGACCACTGTATACATTGGTCACTCCCTCTTGGAAGGTCAGCTTCGTTGTGACTCTGTACGTGGGCTCAGGTCACTCTAACTTATACATCTGTCCAACTTAACTTTACACAACTGTGCTGTGTCTTGTTTTATCATATTATTATTAAATGTTTTATTATTCCTAAAAACTTTATGTTGATGTTAATTGAACGTTTTGCCCAACGGCCAAGACACACGCAGTGAAATATATCTGTGTTAACGCGTAAATCTATGAATAATAAGTCACAAAACTTAATATTTCTTAAGTTAAATATCAAATCAATGCATTGGAATCGAACTCACACCCCTGCGTGTTCCCGAGAAGCCCAGGGACGTGAGTTCAACCCCATTGTATTGCCTCAATATTTTATCACGCAAGTTAATTCTTAAATATATTTGCTAAATGTTCCATGGTTTGCTGCTCTAGTTTATACATCGAAAGGAGAGAGAGGTGTATTGTAGTAAGTCCTTCTCATAACGTTTCATAGTGGTTGTCATCGGACTTCTGCTTCCGACTTCTTGTAAGTAGCTGTCGTGGCTTGCAATAATTGGCCAGCGTGAGTAGCTGCCAAACACACGACGAAACTACGACGTTGCTACAACATTGAACAAGTTTTAACATCTAACAAGTTGTAACCACCAATATATAGCAAGTTGTAGCAACGTTCTAATACGTCATACAAACCTTATAACAAGATGAAGCAACTTTATTACAAGTTGTAACAAGCAGAAAATAGGGACAGTTATGTTGTGTGTTTGCAGGGTAATTCCTTTCTTAAATGAAAACAAACAAATAAATGGTCAGCAATGGAGTTGTAGATGAGTGGATTCACTGGGCAAGTTGCGTAATTAATGTAGATTAATGAAAAAGTTGTACAAATGGGCTGCAGACTATTGTTAGCTGAGAGCAGCTAAGTTGGTGGTAAGTGGCGGTGCCTCGGACGGTCTCTCACGCCAGATATGTCGTGGTCTATTGTATTGGTTTGCTTCTCTTATTCACACCGACTTTAATTGCCTTTGCCAGAATGTGTTGAGAAGTTAGAAGTTAATTTAATTTTTTTTGCTTGGTCTTCACCGCCATTGCTTGTTTATAAGATGAAAATAATTAGGATGAAAATAATTATCACCATTTAACTGAGGGCCACCATCTCTAGTGACCTCAAAGGGGGGCATTAATTATTATTTAGGGTCCTCCCTATTATTCCTGAGGTCCCCCAATTATTCCTAATTTAGGTCCCCCTATTATTCCTGAGGATTAGAAATTACAGCTCAAGATAGCTTGGCACCCCGGCCTTGACTTTATATTATACGATTTAAGAAGCAACAAATTTATACATTATATTAATTTACACAGACCAAGTGAGCAACAAAACAATTGAAATGGAATAAACAAAACAGCTGCGGACCAACGCATGTATCGACTCCTACTGTATTTTCGTCAGCCCGTCCTCCAAACAAAGACCCAAAAGTGATTCCATCCTGCCGCCAAACCCCCTGTTTACGAATGAAAAACAGTTTACACAGGACTCAGAACTGCTGACGTTCGAACACTTCCAGAACAATTGCTTCACTGACGATTTCCGTTCGAACCACAACGCTGTAAATTTTTCACCCACGTACTACAAATACAAATAATCGCCAACAGAACCTAAACACCTAACTTAACCTATACCTATATATATGCACAATATGCCAATATTTTATAATATTAATTTATTTTTGAGAAAATTTCCGTTTTGAATGAACAGCAAGTTAACATTGATGAATGCGTCTGTGGGGTCGACCGCTGGATGTAATGGACTTGATTCGAGGACGGGTTGATTTTCGTTTAAATATCAATTGATTTCAGACTGTTATAATGTTACATCAACTTCACAACACAGAAAAATAACAATCGTGCATAAAATTATTTCAAGAAAGTGTTCTACTTCATGTCTGTATAATCCCGTAATACAAATGTATATGATTTCGATAAATTTGTATACCACGCCCATTATATCATGGTAACTTTTGCTGTGATACACATTATAGGAGAGTCCCCCATCCCCCCTGGAGTGTGAATATTGACTTATTGACAGCCTGTCCGCAGAGCACGACGGACAACGTGACTCAATACTCTACTACGGACTTTCTTGAACTAACTCTCTTCCCCTTCGACTCTCCTCTCTCCTGACAGATGGTCCTCTGCCATCTGTGTTGCAGAATGTCCATGTGCCCGTCATTACCAACCAGCAGTGTGAGAACATGTACAGAGTGGCTGGATATGTGGAACACATTCCCGACATCTTCATATGCGCAGGCTATGAGGGAGGACGGCAAGACTCCTGTGAGGTGAGTCACCCATAAGCTACTTATCGTTTTCTCAAACTCATCTTGAGATTTCGTTTTCTATACCGAAATTTCTAGATGGGTAACACAAATAGTTGTCCGTCCCACTGAACGTGCGTGTGTTCCGCTCTCTTTTCCCCCCACACAATCAAGATGGGCCCCTACATTCACGAATGCAGGAAGTGCCGGTGCCTGTCATAAGCAATAGAGGCTGTGAGAGGATGTTCCTAGCCACTGGAGGGGTTGTGATGGTCCCCGACATTATGATGTGCGCCGGGTACGCGGAAGGTAAACGAGACGCCTGCGAGGTACGTACCTTCCTCCTCCCCAAAACTTTTTCCTCACTTATTTCCAATTTATTTAAATTTCATAATATATTTTCTTTTCAGATAATTATACATAAAGAAAAGACTCGTTATAAAAGTAAAAGAGCTGGAAATTAGGGTCTTTTCTAAGTTGGATTAGGGTATGGTATATCTTAGAGAAGAAAATGGTTACTTTTCAATGGTTAATGATACATGGCCAAAAAGAAGAAGCGGGACTGGGGAAGTGTTATCAATGGAGTGCCCCCCAGGGCTCCGTCCTGGCACCTCTGGTATTTATTATTATAATAATAATAATAATAATAATAATAATAATAATAATAATAATAATAGTAATTATAATAATTCTTTATATAGGTAAAAGTACATACTTGCAAAAGGAGTTACAAGCAGAATGTTAGATTTCTCTCACCTGATGCCTCTGTTTACCTATCAGGAAATAGGTACCTTGGAGTATGACAACTGTTGTGGGTTTGATCATCTGAAAGGACAATAGTTGACCTAGGGAAGGGGGGGGGGGACTTTGATTAGCCTAACAGGTTTTCTGTCGTCACATATTAGCCCTTGAGCTAATTATTATTAATTCCATCCCCTTATAAGAACATAAAAATCAAGGTAACTGCAGGAGGCCTATTGACCCATACACTGCAGCTATTTATATCCATCCAATCTCATTCATATATATGTTTACCTTTGCTTGAAACAATCAAGGAATCCTACTTTTATTGTGCCACGCAGTAATTAACTCCACAAATCAACAACCCCTGTTACAGAATCAGTATTTACCCAGGACTTTCCTAAATCTAAATTTATCCAATTTATACGCAGTTTCTATCCTGTCCTTGTATCCCAGTTCCTATCCTGTCCTCATATCCTCTCCTTGTATCCCAACATGTACCATTTAGTCATAGTAGCTTCACTCTCTCTCTTTCTCCTCAGAATTACCCTGCCATTAAGCAGCAGTTAACAAGAGAGTACAGTCTCCCGCACAGTGTGTTAACCCTTGTTGTTGTTGTGTTCCAGGGCGACTCTGGCGGTCCCTTGGTCATCCAGAGGAACGGTGTGTGGAACCTGGCCGGCGTGATCTCCTGGGGGATAGGCTGCGCTCTGCCCAACCAGCCCGGCGTCTACACCAGAATATCAGCATTTAGGGAGTGGATCGAGAAAATTATCGTGTTTTGAAACTTGTTAATTATATTTATATTTAATATTAATATTATTGCTAACACTTCACATGCAATTATCTCGCGGAGGAAATGAGTTATTACAAAAATAAATAATCGCTGTTAATTCTCCAGGGATAATTGTAGCTTTTTTTTTTTAAGCTGTTGAATTTGTTAGTGACTCTCTGGAGAGAATTTGTTTGAATCGGAAATGCATCTTAAGTCATGATTATTATGACTTGTGGAGACAACATGCGATCATTTCTGAAGGAATTATGTGATTTTTAACGTATTTTATATTAGGGGAAGGAAGTTAACATTTGTATTATAAATGAATTGTGACATATTCCTCCATAGGTAAACATCTCTTGCTTGTAGTATTGTTATTTATTTGTTCTGGCTGTGAGTGTTTGTATGTTTGTTTGTTTGTGTGTGTGTGTATTTATGCGTTTAAAAATGCATGGTTGTTTAATAACTCCTGTTCCCTATTTATTTTGTTCGTGATAATTATTTTGTTAAGTGATCTCCTGGAAGATGTAGGCATTATTTTGACACTTCATAATGGTGTATTTTTTGTATTATTGTTATTGTTATTGTTGTTGTTGTTGTTGTTGTTGGCAGGATGACGCATGCTGATTTTCTCCTCTTTCACCATTTTCATTACTGATCATATAATTATTTGAACAACGGAGAATTGTGAGCACCAAGATAATATTTTGATCTTGATTGATGCAGCTTATCAAGAATAAACATTGACTCAGGTTGATTTGGGCTTGCTGCAATATCTGTGTTTCTTTGTTTGTTTGTGTACATGTGTGTGTGAGATGTAAGGGCCATATATTTATATATACAAGAACTCCCGTGCGGGGTTTTATTGTGTGTATTTCATGTGTATGATGAGCTAAGAGTAGTCACACATGTGTAGTCACATGTGTCCCCAGACTTCCCACTACACCTGCTCCCCTACCAGCTAGCTGACCTGTGATATTTGAGGACCTCTGCCCCGTCCTGTGACCCCCTCCTTCTATGAACCTCACTACCTCCACCCCCCCTTTGTATCTCCCATACCCCCTCACCCCTCGTCGACTCTTGCGTCTCAAACCATCTTGTGATTTAAGGGCATTTTTCCCACCAAGATGATCAGTGAAACCTGAAACTTTCACACGTGTTGCCCCCCTAACATCTGACAGTAGCAAGTTGTCAGGTGTTGCATGTGTTGCCATTTCTGTCCTCTCAAAATACCTTCACCCCTCCAGGTGTTGTTTTTTAACCCCTCAATTTGTGTGTCACCTCCCCCCCATCACCCTCCCTCTTCCATGGGCAACTGTTATTTATACGAATCAGGTTTAGCTCCTTTATATATACATATATATATATATATATATATATATATATATATATATATATATATATATATATATATATATATATATATATGATGCATTTTTAATTTATTGAACATTTGTAAGATAGTGTCTTGTGCGAGATTTTGTACTTCTTTCCGAGCGCTCTTAACCTGGCCCCAGAGGTTAGGATATGTTGTGTACATAATATAATTAAAAAATGATGTTTGCTCGGTTTGTTTACATAGAGATCCTTCATCCTACTCAATTCTGGAGTCCCACTTGCTGGGGGGTCCAGAAGGACTGCCCTCGTAGCGGAGGATCGTGTAATCTACAGTACAGTGCTGGGTTGTGTGACTCTGATAAACTGTCTGAGACCAGAGATGCCAAGGATTACATCGACAATGCCTTATAAGACCATTCGCCGGTCGGCCGAGTGGACAGCATGCTGGACTTATGATCCTGTGGTCCCGGGTTCGATCCCGGGTGCCGGCGAGAAACAATGGGTAGAGTTTCTTTCACCCTATGCCCCTGTTACCTAGCAATAAAAATAGGTACCTGGGTGTTAGTCAGCTGTCACGGGCTGCTTCCTGGGGGTGGAGGCCTGGTCGGGGACCGGGCCGCGGGGACACTAAAGCCCCAAAATCATCTCAAGATAACCATTGTGAGCATAAGACGTCCCATTGACATAATGCCTCACAAGACGTCCCAATCACTCAATGCCTCACAAGACGTCCCAAGCACTCAATGCCTCACAAGACGTTCCAATCACTCAATGCCTCACAAGACGTCCCAATCACTCAATGTCTCAGAAGACGTCCCAATCACTCAATGCCTCACAAGACGTCCAAATCACTCAATGACTCACAAGACGTCCCAATCACCCAATGCCTGACACGACGTCCCAATCACCCAATGCCTCACAAGACGTCCCAATCTCTGAATGCCTCACACGACGTCCCAAACACTCAATGCCTCACAAGACGTCCCAATCACTCAATGCCTCACAAGACGTCCCAATCACTCAATGTCTCACAAGACGTCCCAATCACTCATTGCCTCACAATGTGTATAAGGGTATATATATATATATATATATATATATATATATATATATATATATATATACTATACGCACAAGTGTATTAGCGTGCTTAGACACCCTAATACACCTGAATTAGGTGGTTAAGACACCCTCATACACCTGAATTAGGGGGTTAAGACACCCTCATACACCTGAATTAGGTGGTTTAGACACCCTCATACACCTGAATTAGGTGGTTTAGACACCCTCATACACCTGAATTAGGTGGTTTAGACACCCTCATACACCTGAATTAGGTGGTTTAGACACCCTCATACAACTGAATTAGGTGGTTTAGACACCCTCATACACCTGAATTAGGTGGTTTAGACACCCTCATACACCTGAATTAGGTGGTTTAGACACCCTCATACACCTGAATTAGGTGGTTTAGATACCCTCATACACCTGAATTAGGTGGTTTAGACACCCTAATACAAGTGTATTAGAGTATTTAGACAACCGTAAGGTTCCACCTGACACCCCCTTCTACCCGTCTATAAAACGTTTGGTCCACTTCATAGGCTACTTTGCACGGCCAGCGTACAGGCATACTGGAGACTGGGAGGACTAGTATCATCAACCCAAACTGAGCTGTTTGCCATACAACAGACATTCGCATATGTGATTGCACAAAACACTCAAAATGCAATCATACACACAGACTCAAAAGCTGCACTTCAAATATTAGGACAAAAACAGTGGAAAGATAACGTGGAAATAATTACCACCATTCTGTATCTTGGAGCATTCGCCAAATTTAAAGGACTCAACATAACCTTAAACTGGATCCCATCCCATGTTGGAATCCCATTAAATGAGAAAACTGATGAAATTGCTAAATTGGCAACTCGTCATCCAGGGATACATAAAACAATTCAACCCAGCCTAGAGAACATAAAAAACATCATCACCAAAAAACTCTCACATCTCAACAAAGCCTACCTACACCAGAGAATAGCTGAAGGTTCGCCCTCTGCAACATGGTATCTTCAGGCAACCAAATTATAAAGGTTAAATATCCCAAAAGGAATCCACAGGGAAATAGCAGTTAGGTTATACAGATTACGTCTAGGTTACAAATGCAACTGGGAGATTGGTGAACCCCGACAGAGAGAGTGCATCTTCTGCCAAACTGTCACAGAAAAGCCATTACTTCACTATCTTCTGGAATGTGAAGCAACCAACGACCTTGGAAGAACTTTAAGCGTCCCTGAATCTTGCAGTGGCCACCCTGAAGCCATCAACACAGCCACTCTCCTGGTCAAAAACGGTGTCCAGCAGCTGGATACCCTCATAAAGACTGTCAAACAGTGTTCTCCCCCGCGATAACAGCTTGACGATTAAATGCAATCTCGGAATACTGAAAAGAATTACTGAATAAAAAATTGTACCACTTACAGGCTATTCATGCCCGTGCCACCTCTTGGGTGGCTTAATCTTTATCAATCAATCAATCAATCAATTATTTGGACACATAGAGACGAGGCTAACCATAGCCCGTGCTACTTGCCCCGCTCCTGTGCCAGGTAAGTCCACTATGGGCTCACCATAGCCCGTGCTACTTGGAACTTATGTTCTAAGTAGCTGAATCTAAAACAACAACAACAACAATCAATTTCTTTTCCACGGGAGACATCTCCCGTCACGCAGGGTGCAGTCGCACCTCCACAGATCTCCATTATCAGCTCTTGATACTGGTAATGGCTCAAAAGGGCCACCACTTACGGGCTATGAGGGATTCCTGGCTGCTCCACCAGAGGGTGCAGACGTCGGGCTCTGGCTGTCAGTAGTCGTCTGCCGTTGCTGAGTGGCAGTTGCTGTGGGGGCTGTGGAGCACCCGCTGGTCGGGGCCCCACCTGTCAGTATGGACGGGGCTGGCACTAGCCGCATTCGGAGGATAGACACAGTGCGGCTGGACTTTTCTGCTGATGTGGACTGGCCCGTTGTAGAGGTTGCCCTCCTAGACGTCCTCCGTGTTGATGTCCCCGAGCTCCTGGGCCTCGAGAAGTTGTCGCCCGCCCGTGTTGTGGTGTCGTTCGCCATGTCACATGCTTACCGGGAATTTGTGGCTCGCTGGAATGGCCGCACGCTTCCTCTTCCGGCTTCGGCGGTGTCTGTGGAGATCTCTGATCTCTGGGGGCCCTTGACGTTTGTGAGTATTCACGGCGTGCCGGTGACCTTCCCCGAGACGGCCCTCATGTCCTTGTTTACGTGGTTTGGGTCGGTGGCAAAGCACCGGTTCAACACTTTGAGTGCGGGCCGGCAAATGGGGGTCCGGCTGGGTTCACGCACGCTTGTCATGCGGCTCACGAGCCCTATACTGTCCATGGTCTCGTATCGTGGGCTGTCTCTGAGGACTTTCTATCAGGGTCAAACCCGCACGTGTTTCCGGTGTGGTGCTGAGGGCCACGTCGTGGCCGGTTGCGACGCTCCTCATACAGAAGCCCCTTCAGTTTTCCTAGAGGATGATTTTCCTCGCTTATCTGTGCGTGAGGACTCCCCGGCGGATTCTAGCTCTGTGCAGGTGCCTGGTGTGGATCCCGCGGCGGTTCCTGATGTCGCTACGTCTGGACCGGATATGTCTGCCCCGCCGGTGAGCTCGGGGGACCTTCGTCGTTCGATGACTGCGGAGGTGCATCCGCATCCGGTGGCCTTGAGGGATGCTGTAGGGGTGGTGCCTGTGTCTCCTGCTGGAGGCCATGTGCTTCCCGGGGCTGACGGGGCGGTGGTATGTGTGTCTCCACCCACGTCCTCTGCCTTGTCGCCTCTGGAAGTTTCCTCGTTGACGAGTACCTCTTCTCTTCTGCAGATTCCGTCGCCCTCACTGGATAGCTCACGTGTGCTGAAGTCTACCCTTCCGCCTGCTGTGTCTCTTCCTTCTCCGACTCCGGTCTCCGTTCCTGGTGGTGTTTTTTTGCCCTGCGTTGTTGAGGCTGCTGTTCTGCGTGAACGTGCTGCCCCGGCTTTGGGGCCGCCTGCCGATGGTTCTTCTGGGACACCGCTTGCAGGGGGTGACAGCTCCGACGATCAGCGGCCTCATTTTAAACGCCGTCGCTCGGCTCGGGGTGCGTCACCTCGCCGGTCGTGGGCAGAGGAGCGTGATGCATTGGATGATGATGCTGTGGCCGAAGCTGTGTTGCCTCCTGTGGTGCCTTCTGGGTTGGACGTTGTGCCTCTTGCTGGTGGCTCCCCTCAGTGGGCAGTTGCCCCTGGTAAGCGCGACCTTGTGGTGGTGTTATCGAAGGATGTGAGGCGGGGGGCCTCTGCTCCTGTTCCGGTTGGTGGGGGCACTGGGGCCCCTGCGGAGCCACCCTCAGCGGGTCTCGGTGCGGTTCCTGGCACCAAACGGAGTGCACGCCTTAGTGGGCGGGCCGGTGTGCGGCCTGCCGTGCAGTCAGGTGTGCTTCCTAGTGTGCGGCCGTGTGACCAGCTTCCTCGGGGGAAACCCGTCCCTTTCGTCCTCTCGACCGGCGAGGTGCTCGACAGATCTACGGCAACTGCGACTTTTGAGTGTGATGACTTGTTGCGTCCTGTTCCCTGGTGCCCATCTACCATCTGGGTTCCACGAGCGCAGTGTTTTGTCTTGGGAGTGCCGAATTCGATGCCTCGGCCTACTGCAACTCCTGGGTGTCAGATTCCTGAAAGTGACCAACTTGTTTGGGAAGCTTATTGTTTACGGTTTCCTGCTCGGGAGTACCTGGAGAAGTATGAGTGATTGGTTTATTGGTGTGTTTGGTTTCTGTCTGTTTTGTGCGTGATGTTTCCCCGGTGCTTGCGTGCACAGGTGGGTGTCCTTGTCTGTGCGTGTGGGTGTTGTTGTTCTTGCCCCTGCATGGCCTGTTTTGCTGTATGTTTTGTGCTTTGCATTTGGTGTGTGTGTTTGTGTTGTGGTTGTGTGCGGTTGTGGGTGTTTGGTGTTATTCTTTCGTGTC